TGCACGTCATCAAGGGAGGCGAAGCCACCATTGTCGGGCTTGTTCTTGATATAGCGCCTCACGGCCTCGCGGCCCAGCCAGCCCACGGTGAGCTGTGCCTCCTGGCAAGGCACAGCCAGCCATTCTCCACGGACGTGCACTGTGTACCTGGGCATGGTTCCACTGCAGCCTACAGCCTGAGGTCCTCAGCTGGTGGCAGTCACGGGAAGGGAGAGCTTTATGTAGGAGCTACTACCGGGGTGTGGTCAGCTGGAAGGACAAGGGTAGACTTTCAAAACACTCCCCCTCCTTTGCTTTTACTCATTCATGCATTGGACAAATATTTATTGAGGCCCCCAGTGTCCCTTTGGTTTTTGCAGCCCAGTGGGGACATGAGCAGATGATGCAGGGGAGTGAGCTTCCTGTCCACCTGCCATCCAGCCCTGCTGCCAGAAAGACCTGGGGTCTCCCACCTTGGGAGGTGCTGTTCTTGTCCCTGATGGCACCTACCTTCTGCTGGCCCCCTTTCTTCAGGGTCCCCAATTTCTCCCTCTGCTCTTGTTTCTTTCTGTGTTCTCCTCCATTAAGGGCAGCTTATAAACACCATGTTCCTGTCTTTATCTGGAATTACTCAACTGTAGAATGTGTCCTGCTGGCCAAATGTGACACCAGGAGTGAGGCAATCATCACTCATTTGTTTATTCCACGGATATGTATTGAGCAACTACTCCCTGTCACCAGTAAGGTTTCCCGAAGCTTTCTCTCCACCAGGGAAGACTTCAAAGGCCAGAGATCATTTTCACAACCAAAGGTCATCATCTGAACAAATGAGCCACTGTGGCTTGGCGATCAGGAGCTCCGACAGCTGTGGATGAGGCACCAGCTCCACTACTTGTTAGCCTTGATCAGGTGAGTATTACCCTCCATCTCCTTATCAGAAGGCGCAGGGACTGACTGCCTCCCTCCAGCATGTGCAGGATTTACCTAGGATCAGATCCTGTCTCTGCCATTTGCTAAGTGTGTGACCTGTAGGCAAGTGATTTGACTTCTCTGGGCCTCAGTTGCCTCATCTGTAAAATGAAGATAATAATAACGATAGTATCTATGTCAAAGGGCTATGGGGAGGATTAAGTCAGTTCGTATATGTAGAGCCCTCCACACAGCACCTGGCATGGTGGAAATGTTATAGAAGTGTCTGTGATTACTAGTATCTGGGCGCTAGTACTCCATGTAACTATAATGCTTTATAAATGTTCCACGTGAATTAAAAAACTATAATGTTCCATACGTAGTCTTTCATCTTGGCACATGGATATCCCGCATCCAGTTAAGCTTCTTCACCACAGATAACTGCGCCCTGCACCCACCTCGTTACCATTGGTATTAAGGAACTCTGGATAGCATGACTAAGGCATCAAAGAAATGCAGATGCTATTTTGACTAAGCAGCATTTTCATCGTAAGCCAGTTTTTAGAGGTTTGATTATTGCACTAGAAAAATCCTAAAAAGTCTATTTCCACTAAACTAGACTTCGATTGGGAAGAGAGACATGGTTGCTCACAAAAAAAGCACATACCCAGACCCAGAGTCCCTCTCATCCTCTGACAGCTTCCCATGAAGCATAGGAATAGCTATCCTTCCTCAACCCTTATCAAAACTTGCTCTTCAGCCACCCACACCCTAACTGCACCCTGGAATTTGTCATGACCTGAATTTGATACACTTAGGAAATCTGAAATTTCAATTCCACCTTCTGACCATGGCCTTCCAGCTCCCGGCTTACTTCAGTCACCGCCAGCCTTGGACCTGATCTCCAGTCAGTCTCTCCATCCTTCCCCTTCCCACCAGCATCCTCACTTACTTTCCTAGGAAGGTGCTTCCCTAGTTGCTCACTGGACCACTCTTCTTTAAGCACTCTGAGATTTCTTTTCATCCCTAAACCTGTGTCTACACTTGGAGTAATACCCATCCCCTTGGTGGTCACAAAAAAACTGCTATCTCTTGGGAGGATTGCTTGAGCCTAGGAGGTCGGTGCTGCAATGGGTTATGACTGTACCACTGCACTCCAGCCTGGGCGAGATCATGACCTTGTTTAAAATTAAAAAAAAAAAAAAAAGGGAGGGGGACTGCCCTCTCTGTTCACCCAGGCAGAAGACTGCTAGAGAAAATCCTGTGATCACATAGATTCATGATATTGCCCTTTTATTCCCTCCAGCCCACAGTGACTTTCCAGAACTTTCACCCTTCTGCCAGGACCTTTGCAACATCTACCTCCTCTAATTCTCAGAGGGAGATCTTACGTCCTACATCTGTGAGAAAACTGAGGCCCCCGAATGTGAACCACCTTAACTTTCTGCCCCGCTCCATTCATTCATTGACTCATTTACGAAACATTTTTTAAACACCTGTTATGTAACAAGCTCTATGTGAGGTGCTGGGAATGAAACAAACACGCTCCACCTTCATGGTGCTTACTGTCTGGTGATGGATAAAGCTGTATAAAGATGATGAATAAGACGTCTAACTATCCTCATGCTGCAAGAAAACCCAAACTTCATGCTCTGGTTGACGGTCCCTGCTGAGCCCAGCTTCTGAGTAATTCCAGCCCAGACATCAGACATGTGAGTGGAGAAGCTTCCAGATGATACCAGCTCCCAGCCATGGAAGTCACCCCCAGCAGCCTGAGGATTTTAAATTCAGGCCCTGCGCATTGTAGAGCAGAGACTTCCTGGCTGTTCTTTCTCCAGGAACACACTTTCCAACTTCCTTTGCCTGGCTAGATCTTTCTTACTCCTTAAGCCTGTTTAGGCCTTTTCTTCTCCAGGAAACATTCCCTAAACTCTTCAGTTGGGTTAAGTGACCCTTCTCTGTATGCTTTAGCATACCTCTTCTTTAGTATTACCTAGAAAGTATCTGTCTGTGTTCATAATTATGTACATATCTGACCTGCCGCAAAGACACTCGGCATATGCTTACTAGCTGCGCTGAAGAAATGTGAACTGCACTGAGCGGGCCCCCGAGGCAAACCAGCAAGCAGGATGGTTTGTCTTTAGCGCCCTCTACCTTCCTCACAGCACCCTTCCACACCGCCCTTCAAGCATCCCTTGTCCCAATTCACTTTCAGTATCTCTAAGTGATAACTAAAAATGGCATTAACTTAGAGCTTGTCTCGTAAGCTCATAGAGCAGAAGCCTTAAAAAGCAGTATTTGGGTGCATAGATTTGCTAAGGTCTAGTCACTTAGACCGGGATCATACGCCAGTGATTGGAACTGAACTCCAGAGCTTGGAGAAAGAAATCACACTGCAGTGTAGGTAAATGACCAAGAGGACAGAATGAGGCAGGCAGATTGCTTGAGCCCAGGAGTTCAAGACCAGCCTGGGCAACATGGCAAAATTCTGTCTCTATAAAACAAAAATTAGCCGGGCATGGTGGTGTATGCCTGTAGTCTCAGCTACCCCAGAGGCTGAGGTTGGAGGATGACTTGAACCTGGGAGGCCTATGCTGTAGTGAGCTGTGATCATGCCACTGCACTCTAGCCTGGGCAACAGAGTGAGACCCTGTCTTAAAAAAAAAAAAAAAAAAAAGGGCTGCTAGGGAGAGCGAGAGCCAGGAAGAAGTCAGGATTCCAGGAACAGGAAGGGGTATGTCTCTTCCATACCTTCCCCACCGTGGGTATTTGCTCCCATTTCACTTTGGTCACTGCATTAGCATTTTGAGGGTTCATTTGGTCATGACACCCCCACCCCCACCCCATACCGACACTTATAGTCTAAGACACCATTCCTCTTACAGAGTTTATTTGGCCAGAGGTGGACCCCACCTGGATTAGTCTCACCTCTGGGAATTTGGATCTGTGATAGCCTCCCCATGTGGTAAGAGCCATTTGCAATAGTAAAGCTGGAGGGTGGCCAGCCTGTCCATTGTGGACTAGAGAGGCAGAGGTGAGGAACAAGAGCACTGATGGTGCTGCAGTTCTGGGTTGTCAGACCCCTTCTACCCATCCCAGGTTCTGATAATTTCCCTATGCCTTGTATCCTTAATCTTTCTTTTCCCTTTTTTGACTTCCGGTCACTTGGATTACTGTTAGTTGCAATCAAAGAATTCTAATACCGCTATGGTTCTAATTAATTCTAACTAATACAGCTAATACATTAAGTAAAAATTGATTCTACCTAATACAGCTATGTGTGCTGAGGTGCCCTGGGACACTATGTTGCATTGGCAAGGGCACTTTGTTATATTTGTCTTTTATTTGGTTCAAGTTGTGTTTTTGAAAGACTGTTGGGGATGGGAAGGACTGATGCTCCAGGTGGCCATCTGACCCCTGATAGACAGGAGACCAGGACAAGCCCACTGGATGAGCCGGAGGGGTCCAGGAGGAGGGAACCAAGAGCTTCCGCTAAGGTTGACACATGCTGGTAAGGAGTTCGTCTGCTGTCCACCAGGTAGATGGTGTACAAATCCAACTAAGCATTCGGCTTTAAGGTTATTTTTTATTTTTTTTTGAGGCAGAGTCTCCCTCTGTTGCCCAGACTGTAGTTGTAGTGCAATGGTGCCATCTCGGCTCAATACAACCTTCGCCTCCTGGGTTAAAGCAATTCCCCTGCCTCATCCTCCAAGTAGCTGGTATTATAGGTACATGCCACCACGTCCAGGTAATTTTTGTATTTTTAGTAGAGTCAGGGTTTCACTGTGTTGGCCAGGCTGGTCTCAAACTCCTGACCTCAGGTGATCCACCCGCCTCAGCCCCTCAAAGTGCTGGGATTACAGGCATGAGCCACCATGCCCAGCCTCATGTTTAAGGTTAATTTTAAACGCAAAGCAAAATCCTAATAATGTTGAATTTTTGGTCTGCAGTAGATTCAAATTAATGAATTTAAATCAAATATCAGGTAAAATAGTACCTTGACATATTTGGTGATCATGCTGGGAGAAAAATTAATATAAAGGTAATTTAAAATTTTTAAATTGGTAAATCAAAAGATTAACCTTTGTTAAAATTTACAAAGAACATGCCACTATAAGAAGATCAACTTTATTTCAGTAAAATCACCAACAAAACAGTAAGTCAAAACTAAAAAGAATTTTAATTGTGAGCTGAAGTTTTATATTCCTTTATGAATTCCATTTAAAAAAAGAGAAATCTTTAAAACCATCAATAGGCAGATCTCTAATCCACTTTCAAGTCTTTCCCCACCAGCATTGCAGTCACGGGGTGCATGCTTGCTTTGTGCTCTTGGTAGGTTCGGACAGCTTGATCATGGGATTTGTCATAGGCAGCAAGATCCCTGCAAAAAAAAAAAGAAAAAATTGAAATGAAAGAGAAAGAGATGAGAAAAAGACAGGAGGAGGAGAAACGGAGAGAGGGAAGAGGGGAAAGGGGAAGGAGAAAGAGTAAGAACATAAGTCAATACCCAAAATTAAATTAAAGAATGTCAGTAGGGGTGACAGCCAATGTCACCCAAATAAGGCACCAGTCCCAGCCAATCAGATGGATATGATCCTGCCGTAGGGTCCTAGAGGCCTCCTTCTGTACCAGAGGCTGGCTCTTATACTGGCAGATCAGACATTTTGCGGGAGTTACAGGGAAGGGCTAGAGTGGCTGGGACCAGTGGTTATTTACCAAGCAGCATGGAAGTATTTTATTATTTGAACAGTGTCCTCTAATCTATTGCCTAAATATCAGGCCTGTATGTGAGAGTATGCCTCAAAGCCTTTCTTTTTAAAAACTGCTTCTTAAAATAAAATATTTAATCAAGATTTTAAGAGTATGAAAACACTACATTTATAAATAGAATTTCTGAAAACTTCAAATAGAAAGTGAAAATCCTGACCACAGTGAAATAATAATAATGTTATACTAAATATATAGGACCTACCACACAAAGTAGGACTCATCTTTTTTTTACATAACTACTATTTACAAATAATAAGACAGAAATATTTATTTTTCCAACAAAAGGTATCCTCTTATTTAAAACCTATTTAAAGTATACTTTACTCAATTGAAAGCTAGATGGGTTTTAATTATGGAAAGCATATAAAATATACTCAAAAATTAATTTTGTGGTCACATCAAAAGAGACAATGACTTATTTTGCCAAGTTTTATGATATTATATTGCCATCACTTTTAATGGCAAAAAAACGCAATTACTTTTGCACCAACCTAAATACTTGTGAAGTAAATGGAAAGCAAACAGATGTCATCATGGATGTTTAGGGCATGATTTTTTTCCCCAGAATTTAGGCAAAATTCATAGATAAAAAACTTCACTGAGACATTCTTAACCTATATTTTGCTGCCAAGATACAACTTATCCCCTCTCACCAAGCATTCCTTTGTTATATGTCAGGCAACCCACCCTTGACCTCTTTGCAACATTGAACGCAGAAGAGTTGGTGTTCTCTGCTTATTTCTCCTTACATTTAACTTCAGACTCGTTTTCTTGTCCATACCTACCCACCAATTATCCTCTAGTTGCCTTTAGAAATCTTTCTGTGTAAGTCTGTAAGACTATCTTTGATTTATTTCCATTTCATCAGTGTCTAACTCTATTTGGCCCATAATAGGTAATCCATATATAATGCTTCTAAGAAAAGGAATGAAATATTTCAAATTTTAAATATTTAGAAGTGTGAATCCCTATTCCAAAATTATACTGATAAACTTTAACAAATTAAAAAATATCTATCATATAGATTACGTTTTACAATGTATATTAACAAAAACATTTGAGAGTTTTCTTCCTACTTCTTAGATGAAGTCAAAGCACAGTCTGGGTGGGTTCTTACTTGAACAAGGGCCGGGTAAACTTCATTCTTCCTTGTTCAGTTGCCATCTTTAGCGCCAAAGGAATTGCGTCCTCCCACTTGGATTGAATGCAGAGCCGCAGCCATCTAAAAGGCGGGTTTTGGGGGAGCATGGGTAGAAGGGGCAGGATATGACAAGTATATCTGGACATTATTTCTGTAGTAATGAATAACCGCACTATAATTATACTCTACACCACTTTACGGTATGTCCTGATTCTGAGACTCTCAAATCCTTATATATACAATTTAATAATTGGTGAAGAGAAGGAAGAAGAGCTGGTTCTTGAAAAAGATCATAAAAGGTCTGGATCAGGTAGGTGCTCATGTGCCTTATAAATGCAGTTTCTGAAGGAATTAAACTTTGGTTTAAGCCTCAGATTATAAATTTGAATTAAGAAAGTTTAACATATAATAGAATAAAATATTTCTAACTATTCCCATTTCAAAGTAGATTTAGTTGGTTGTGGAGAAAGCCTATTTAGCACAGAATCCTTCATGCTAATTTTTTTTTCTTTTAAGGCAAGCGAGGTTTAGAGCAAAGTCTAACAAAGATTAATACTGTCAGCTTACACATTGCAACTATTCCTTAAATACCACTCGAAGTATTTATATAGAAGCAGTTTGACAAGGACTTCTCAAGACTCAAGTATGTCTCCTACTCTGCATTCCCTTTCTCCACCTTTCAAAGGGGTTTTCTGCTTTCTTCCACAGAGACAAGTTAAAATGATGTACCTGAATCGTATTTCAGAATTGTTAATGGCATTGAAGTTGTACACCTCTTGCATTCGCTTTATGTGCCCCAATGGAAGAGGTGCCTAAGAGCAAAATAAAGAAGTATACCGTATCATTTCAACAGGATTCCTTGGAAGAAAGGAGCTGGAGAGAAATGCATAGCCAGATTAAAATCCTAAATATTTTATAATATAGAAATAAGATAAAATAAACGAAACAAATTGCACACTAAAGTAAATTCTGTGCAAACTTATTCTGGATGAGGATATCCTACTGGGACAGCACAGGGATAATTTACTTTGTGAAGTACTCAGATAATTAAATGAGAATTGCTCTTCTTAGACTTTTTAGCATGTATAAATATTATCTTTCAGACCGTTCCTAGAGTTTTTCTAGTTATTCTCTATACCTTAAATGCATTCCATTCTCCAGATTAAATCATAGTTCCTTTATTTTTACCTCACTGATTCCCCCAGCTTTATTTTTATATATTTCCTCTGAAATCCCTCAAATTATCTACATCCTTACATAATAGCAGTTCTTGAATGTATTATAGATCTCTGTGGGAATCTGATGAATAACGTGAACTCTTTCCCTAGGGGGGAATATACACCTACTACATGAATACAAACTTCTGTATACAATTTCAGGGGGTTCATAAGCATCCTATCCCTATCTTAACTCACCCTAAAAGGGAAGACAAGTTTGAGTGAAGGAAAGATAAAAGATGAGTTCAGTTTGAAGAGTGTGCAGTGCCCTTGAGTAGAGGCAGAGGTGCCTCTAGGTAGACCGTAACTCTCCCCTCCAGCCACGACCTCCTTACCTTACAGGACTCCATACTCACTAACCATCTCTGCTCTCATGAACTACTAGCCCTGCTGCAAATAATTTAGTCCATTAGCCCCTTATGGACACAGGCAACTCCAAGTCCACGCTGGTAAACCAACTGGTTAAGGTCATCGCCAAGGCTCCCTGACTTTCCCCAAGTTTTACCATACCCATTCTGGAATCACCCTACCATGTTCCCTCTCTCTGTGGCCCTAGGCCACCCAGCAGTGGGAGAGCAATTTATGAAACCATGATGACCTGGTTCACTAAAAATAGGTTCTCTTACTTTGACAGGGCTGCCCTAGTTGCCTCAAAATCCTATCCCTAATTTTTGCATCAATTCCACAGGAAATTCTTTTCCAAATCTTTTCCTTCCTTCTCAAGATCCTTAGCCTGAAGACTTCCCTTTCATGGAAGTTTTAAGAATCCAGTCATTGGTTTATCTCAAAATACAGTATCTCCTTTCTGTTTTATATATTTTTTCAATTGCCTGGATTTGAACCTTAAAATCTGCTTGGATTCTTTTCTGTTAACCCCTATAATCAGTCAGTCACAGAACTCTGTGCTTTCACCCTGTGCAACCTCTTTTTCATTTGTCCTGTTCTCTCCTCTCCCCGCAGCTCACTTCAAGTCCTGTACTCCTGCGAGTCTCCCAATTAATAACTTCACCACCACGGAGCTTTCATGATCCCAGATTAGTTGTCACAACCCAGCATTTCATCCCCTAACTCTCCTGCTGGATTTTTAAAATCCTTGTCTGCTGACCAGGATAAGATCTAAAATTTCTAAGAAATTTTAGCTAAGCTTAGCATTCAGGAGTCATCGCATCTGGTCCTACCAGCTTTTCTAGTGTTATCTTCACTGACATCCTTACCCAGTGCCACTGTTTACTCTGGTAACACTGCAGAGGAGTTCCAGCCCTTGCTGTTCCCTCCATCTTGAATTTCTTCCTCCCTGCTAGCCCTGGGGGTGAAAATCAAGTCTCCTCCAAAATTCCCTCTCTGATGCCCCCAGTTGGAAGACAGTCTTTCAGTTTTTCCAAATGATACCTAAAATATATCTCCTTTTATTGCTATTTTATTTTTTTTTTTTTGAGACGGAGTTTCGCTCTTGTTACCCAGGCTGGAGTGCAATGGCGCGATCTCGGCTCACCGCAACCTCCGCCTCCTGGGTTCAAGCAATTCTCCTGCCTCAGCCTCCCGAGTAGCTGGCATTACAGGCACGCGCCACCATGGCCAGCTGATTTTTTGTATTTTTAGTAGAGATGGGGTTTCACCATGTTGACCAGGATGGTCTCGATCTGTTGACCTCGTGATCCACCCACCTTGGCCTCCCAAAATGCTGGGATTACAGGCGTGAGCCACCGCGCCCAGCCCACTAATTTTTTCAAAAAAATTTTTATGAGACAGAGTCTTTGCTCTGTCGCCCAGGCTGGATTACAGGAGTGTGATCTCAGCTCACTGCAACCTCTGCCTCCTAGTTCAAGTGATTCTCCTGCCTTAGCCTCCCAAGTAGCTGGGATTACAGGCACCCACCACCATGCCCAGCTAATTTTTGTATTTTTAGTAGAGACAGAGTTTCACCATGTTGGCCAGACTAGTCTCAAACTCTTGACTTCAAGTGATCTGCCTGCCTCAGCCTCCCAAACTGCTGGGATTACAGATGTGAGCCACCACGCCTGGCTTATTGCTAAATTTTACATGTGTTCCCCTTCCTATTACATTATAAACTATTTGAAGATAAGCTATATTCTTACATATTTTTATATTTAGCACAATACAGAATACAGCAAGCATTCAGTGCTTTTTCAAAAGAAATAAATGGATTTTATAAATGATTTCTTCCCCATTAGTTTCCACATGAATACTCTTTCACCAAGTTGGGTAGAACATAAATGCTGTGCCTTTCTATCCATTTTAATTTATAAGGTTTTGAGCTAGTACTTACCTTCTGGAGCATCTGTGCTAAAAACTCATTCAACTGATGAGAGGAGAGATCTTTCAGGTCTGTGGCATTGAATGAATTTAAATCATCTTCTTTGGCCTAAAATAAATGTTACCTAGTTATTTTTGTTCATTTACAATTTAATAAATATGACATAAAAGTAAACATTAAGAACCATATGAATGAACAAGATTATTCAAAATTAATTTAAGCCTGAGTTAAGTAATTCTGAGATTGAGTCACTGTAATTTAAATAGCTGACAGGACTCCTAGAATCTTTATTACTTACAAAAAAGCAGATTGTGAGTAGGCAGAGTGGAAGAAACTTTTGACATCCATTGTACCATTCGAGGTATAGAAATTTCCAAAGCAAAGAAACATTTCAAAATGTATGCATGTCGACTAATTTACAGACCAATTCAAAAATGTAGGTAAAGAATGAAATTGTATATTTTTAAATATTACATTAATAAATTGGTAAGGCTATAAACTAATGTTTTCCTCTATGCCCACATATTCTGTTTTCCCCACTTAATCTTAGAAACCACCTAAGAAAAATGAGTCTGTACTTTTCAAATTTGGATTTATTCTCAAAAATCTTTGAAAATATGATTATGTAATATTCAATAAAGCTTATCAAAATAAGGATTTTTAAATCTTTTAAAACTAGTTTTATATTCTTTTAAATCAGGGCTTTTGTTACTTTAAAAGAAATATATGCAAATAATAAAAAAATAAAATTGGACAGATTTGGTTTTGCTCCCTGTCTCCAAGTCCTACTCCTGAGTAACCAATATTAGTAGTTTCTGTATATCCTTCCACAAAATCTAATGCATATGTATATACCCTATTAAAGAAATAGTTGCCATCTTCCCCCCACCGACTTTCAGAACTCTCCTTAATAGCAAAACTTCTTCCCCCTTAACTTCTCCTTAATGTGAGAACCTACAACTCCAGCTCATTTTCTGTGCAAAAACCTGCAAATCTAAACTATACATTAATTAAGGATGTATTTATATGGTAAAAACAAAAAAACCAAGAGAATGATAAACCAAAATTCAGGACAATGGTTACCTGGATGGGTTGGCAAGGAGGGTGGAGAGGGAGGGGGTCAGATGGGAGGGATGTACCAGTAAGATTTTACTACTTATTCTAGCAGTGGGTCACACAGGTACTGTTTCACAATTGTTTTTTACATCTTATGAATGTAAATATTCTTTTGCATTTGTTTACTATTTAAGACAAATTCACTGAGAAATAAAATACAGAAGGAAAAGAGCGCACTAGTGAACACAATGTCCTGAGTCTGTTCCTAACACTGCCTGTTTCTACTAATATTGAAGAGTTGCTCATTATCTACTTTAACTGCTGGGCCTAAAGGAGTATTTGCACAGAAATTAGTAGCAGTTTTACTAGCACCAAACAAGCTGGAGTACATTTTTCAAGCTGAAACAGAGGATTCTAAGACACTCACACTGTTAAGAAATCCTCTTTCCCACAGAAATCTCTTATACTTTTCTTTGTGACAAGTTTGTGAACTACAGAAAGCAAAGTTCAAGAAGCAGGTATTACAGAAGAATAAAGCATTGTCTGTGGCAAGTTGTGTTACCAGACTCCTCTCTTAGACAGAAATAATTAAGCCTTATTTGAAAGAGCACACGATTAAACCATTCCTCCAGCGTGAACTCAGCACTACTCCAGGCCAAGTATTGACAGGCGAGTTATCTATGGGCACAAGCAGCCTACTCTCCATAGGTGGCTACTAGAAAATGTTATTCCTTCCTTCCAAAAAGAAAAAAAACCCAGCAACAATTAGACTTGACCTTAGATCCAAATAGTAATTAGTAATGTTCTTTGTTATGATGTTAGAAAAGTCTCTAAAAAGATGTTTATATTTTATTTGAAGTTGGAGTGTTGCTTCTCTTGGTTTCTGGTTCCATTTTTCCTGATTTGCCTTACTCCTGATTTGGTTTTTCTTCCTTCTTCTGGCTCTAAGGATGTTCTGCCAATACCTGGAGCTTTCTCTCCCCTTTCTTCTTCTCCAAGTCTAATTGGTTCTCAGGTTCTTAAATAGTTATAAAATTAAACCTCAAAAATCATTCAACTCTTTTTTTTTTAGACAAAGTCTTGCTCAGTCACCCTGGCTGGAGTAAAATGGTACTATCTTGGCTCACTGCAATCTACCTCTGCCTCCTGGGTTCAAGCTATCCTCATGACTCAGCCTCCGGAGTAGCTGAAATTGTGCACCACCACACCTGTCTAATTTTTGTATTTGTAGTAGACATGGGGTTTTGCCATATTGGCCAGGCTGGTCTCAAACCCCTTGCCTCACGTGATCTGCCCACCTAGGCCTCTCAAATTGCTGGGATTATAGGTTTGAGCCACACACCTGGCCAGCCACCACGCCCAGCTTCAACTCTATTAATATTCCCTCCCATACCATTCTAATTTCAAACTCCTCAAGTTTTCTTACCTGAACTACTATTGATACCCTCCTAGGTGACCTTTTACTCTAACTAAAATTTTACTAATTTTAACTTTTCCATCCTTTTTTTTCTTTTTTTCCCTTCCCTTCCTTTCAGTTCATCCTTTCCCTTTTCCCCTTTTTCTCTCTTCTTCCCCCTCCTCCTCCTCTCTCCCTATTTCTTTCAAGAGGGTCTCATTCTGTTGCCTTGGGCTAAAGTGATCCCCACACCTCAGCCTCCTGAGTAGCTAGGACCACAAGCACATACCACCACGCCCAGCCACTTTTTGTACTTTTTTTCAGAAATAGCCTGGTCTTGAACTCCTGGGCTCAAGCAATCTGTCTGACTTGACCTCCAAAAGTGCTGGGATTACAGGCGTGAGCCACTGCATCAGCTATTTTTTCCATCTTAATTGATCCTATATGCTACACCGCCAGACTAATGGTCCTCCTACACAACTCTGATCATTTCATTTGCAATTCAGAAACCTTTAAAGGATCCACTGCTGCCTATACATTACATTTTAAATTCCTCAGCTTGACAAAATCCTCTGTGATAGGGAGCTACTTTATCTTTCCAACCTTGTTTTCCCTCTACTAATTCATGTATTCATCCAGCAATGAATAAACATGGACGGCCCTGAGGATACAGAGGTGAATAAAAACAACTCTTGCTCTCAAGAAGCTTATGGTCTGGTGGAAGAAGCAAAGAAGGAAACAAATACAGTAAAAGCTTTCTTAAACGAACCTAAAAACAGACCCATCAGATAAACCCCTCCTCTCCATTCCTCTGTGTAATCAGCAGACCCTCAGAGCAGGTAGGCTGCCCTCTGGTGTCTGTGGCTCTTCTGCTCCCACTTGTTCATTCCTATGCTAAGTCAGCTGCATTTGTTCCAAATGTGTTTATGTCAGGTGCGTCTCTAATTATGAAATCTTACCTTATCAAATCATAGGCAAACCAATGAAAGAGGAGTGTCAAAATAAAAATTTCTAATAAATACTAAGTTTTGTTGCTGCTTTCAATAAAATCCTTTGCTTAAACACTGTTCCTCTCACTGGAAGGTCCTCCAGCACCTCATCTGTGACCTAACCATCTTCAAAGCTGGCTTTTGTAAGAAGCACTCTTTGAGGCTGCAGCCAGTTCCAACTCCCCCAGCCCCAGGCAGAAGTTCTGTAATGGCTCCTTCTGCCAACCTCTTACTTCACCTGTATCATCTTCATGCTGCTTATCATTTACTGCTTAGCGTTTTGTTATTCCTGTATGAATCTAATGTCTTAATTAAACCATAGATGCTTCAAAAGTAAATCCATCTCTACTTTTCAAAGTATATGATGCAGCATTTTGTACGTAGTAATATGTGAAGAAATACTGGTCAAGTAAGCTTTAGAAACAAGTTTCAAAAGGCAACAGCTACATTGGTTGCACAGCTGGAGGCCATTATCCTAAGTGAATTAACAAAGGAACAGAAAACCAAATACAGCATGTTCTCACATATAAGAGAGAGCTAAATGACTAGGTACTTATGGACATAAAAGTGGCAACAACAGACACTGGGGACTACTGGGAGGGGGGCAAGGATTGCAAAACTATTGGGTACTATGCTCAGTACGTGGGTGATGGGATCAATCCTACCCCAAACCTCAGCATCATACTATGTGCACATGTAACAAACCTGCACGTATGCCCCCAAACTTAAAAGTTGAAATTACTTGAAAAGTTATTTATCTGTTGCAAATTAAAAGGAATGAAATTATTCCTAAATTTTCTGTTATTTTTTCATTAAAGGGTTATCCAGGGCACATCCTTACTTTGGCTTCAGTAACAGGTTCTATTTTAGTACATATATGAAGAAGCTTCTCTTTAAGAAGCTTCACAGAAAGTGAACAAAGTTACTGACAAAGCAAAAGTGCCTCGATTCTTCCCATCACTAAGAGCATTAGCAGTTGGTCACCCAAGATCATTTTAGATTTAGGTGGTATGTGTAATTGCTATATTGGAAGCAATATCTTATAAATTATTTAAAAGGAAAAGAAGAAAGGTAAGATACAAATACTTTTGCATACTTTAAGAGTCAAGAAGCAAGAAACATCAGGATTAATACCCTCAACATCTGTTTTTTTCCCCTCATAAAACTTAATTTTCTAGGCTGGGCACAGTGGCTCGTGCCTGTAATTCTAGCACGGTGGGAGAATCACTGGAGACCAGGAGTTTGAGACCAGCCTGTACAACATAGACCCTGTTTGTACAAAAAGTTTTAAATTAGCCAGGCATGGTGGCTCATGCTTGTAGTCCCAGCTTCTTGGGAGGTGGAGATGGGGTGACTGAGCCCAGGAGGTTGAAACTGCAAGAGCCATGATCTTGCACTCCAGCCTGGACAACAGAGCAAGACCTTGTCTCAAAACAAACTCTTAATCTTCTACATTGAGAACAGATATATTTATCACCTTAGATAAATCTGACTTTCAAATAGCCTTTCCAAATATAACTTTTTGTGATTTAAATTACCCTTCCCCCTTCATGAGTAAAGACATATTTCCACAATTCAAAAAGGAATAAAAAAAATCACACATTACTTACAGTAATCCATCTTTGACTTAAGGCAATGCAGGCATTTGTCAGAGTCATATCATAACTGCAAAGATAAAGATTAAATTGTATAAAAATGCCCATGCTTTTGCAGAAATGCAGTTTTAAAGCTACAGTACATAAATTTTAAAGTCCCTTTTAAATAAGGAAAACAAACTCCAAAGTGATGAAAATAGGAAATATTTTACCTAACTTACATACTACTGGCATCATCCAAGAACTCACAGATCCAAGTGGATTAATCCACACTAATAAAACACCTGTCTATCTTTTAGAGCGAATGCCAAAGCACCTCAGTAAAAGACTGTCATGTGCTCAAGTAGTGTATGTTAAAGTAGTTGAAATCAGTTGAGCGTATTTACTGTATGGCAGGAACAGTTCTAGGCACTCGACAACATGATGAACAACACGACGTCCTTGTTCTCATGGATTTTACTTTGTTGTTCCAAACGTCTAATCATCAAACAAACCTGCCAGCACCTGTACATGATGGGCACTGTTCTAGATTCTAGACCTTTGAGAGAGTCTGATACCACTGTGTGATGGTTTCATTCCTTTTCAGAAGAAAATGAAATGAACACATTGTTAACCAAAGCAAATTATACCAACATTTGTGTGTTCTCAACTTGGAAGTCATATATTTTGCAACAACAGGAAAGAACACGTATGTGCAAAATTCTCACAAAACATCCCTCTTTTTCTATAAATCATGCTTGCTTACTCTGAAATGCTTGTATTAGAGAAGAGAGAGGCACCTTCCCCTTAAGGCCTAAATGAAGTAAGTTCTGATTAGAAGTTACCACTGAACCTCCCTTTAAGAGAGTTGTGACTGGTACTCCCTGTTTGTTCCCTAGAGGAAATAATAAAGGGGCCAACACAGCTCCCACCTCGAAGCAGCTGCCAGTTTATTACATGAAATGTCAGGTTGCAGACTGCAGGCATGCCATTTTGTCCTCAAGAACAGTGGGGATCAGAGGTCCTCGGCTGCTCAGGCAGTACACTGCCTTCAACTAAAACAACAGCACTGATTTCTCAAAAAACAGTAGGAAAGGCTGGACCCAGTGGTTCACGCCTGTACTCCCAGCACTCTGGGAGGCCGAGGCAGGCAGATCATGAGGTCAGGAGATCGAGACCATCCTGGCTAACACAGTGAAACCCCGTCTCTACTAAAATTACAAAAAAATTAATCAGCCGTGGTGGCATGCACCTGTAGTCCCAGCTACTCAGGAGACAAAGCAAGAGAACTGCTTGAACCTGGGAGGCAGAGGTTGTAGTGAGCCAAGATTGTGCCACTGCACTCCAGCCTGGGTGTCAGAGTGAGACTCTGTCTCAAAAAAGAAAAAAAAAATAGGAAAGTAGAAAACCTTTGGCTGGTCTATTTCTCAGTGTCCTGAAACTTCCTTATTAGTGTAATGAAAAGTACTAAGTTAAGAATTAGCCTGGGAAAGGACCCTACTTATGGCAAAGTCTTAAGAAAAGTAAAGAGCAAAACCAGATATGTGCCTTGTTCTCACGGTGTTTACAGTATATCAGAGGGGAAATACTTTAATCACACAAATAAATGTAAAGTTAGAACTGTGCAAATGCTGCGAAGAGAGGATACAGCACTAAGAAGCCCTAGAATGGAAGATTTGACCTGGGCAGGGATGTCAAGAAATGCTTCCATGAGGAAGTGGTTCTTGAGCTGAGATTGGAATTAACTGGGCAAAGAGCTCTAGGTAGAGGGAACAGCATGCTCAGGTACTATGTTGGAGGACATATGGAGAGTTCAAGAAATCACAAAACTGCCAGTGTGACTGAAGCAAAGGGAGCTAGACTGTTAGGAGCTCAGAATCCCCATTAAAGGATTTTGTCTTAGCCCAAGAGCAAGGAGACACCAGTGGAGACTGCTAAGCAGGAGGACACCATGACATATTTGTGCTTTTAAAGGTTCACTCTAGCTTTAATGTGGAGAGTGGCTAAGTCAGAACAGATACAAGTGCCCAGTTTGGGTGCCAGAACAGTCTTCCAGGATGTGAAGACGTGAGACTCAACTTCTGTGGCGGCAGAAACAGAGAGACGTGGATAGACTCAAGCGACATTTAAATACATGTACAAATGATGAGAGCATTATAAAAGGAAGATCGCAGAAGCCAAGATTCCGTGCTGCAATGAATCAAAGTATTTTCTGTGGTTTGAGACTTTCTAAGATACTCTCTCTTTACAGAATTCCTGGGCACAGGAATGATTCCAGGGTTCCTCCAGCACTTTGGTATTACTTGAAAGCAATCTTAAGGAATCTAGAATGAACCAAGGCCCAACAACGATCCCTTAGCAGCAGCAATATCAAAGAAACCCTTTCGAAGAATTAATTTTCTACCCAGATTTCTCTTAATTTTGAAAGCAATGCTCAAAGCCCTCCCTACTCTTAAAACTTCCGGGAACTGTCTTTTGCCCTTATCAGGTTCCTGAAGTTAGAGTCTTTGAAAAGACTCCAAACTCCAAATTCTATGCTCGTATTCTCAGGCTCCTTACATAATTGTACAGCACACTGCACCGCTGACCACTCTCTGTAGCACTTTTAAAGTACTTCTCCCCACAGCTTTCTTAACAATGAACTAACCTTTGAAATCTCTTTTTACTTTTCCATTTATTTTGCTAGTATCTTTCCTCTGTCCTAGCTCTCAAATGGAGATCCTCTAAGGTTCTAAACTTTACTTCTCGTATTCTTCTTTGTAAGTCATCTCCAAGACGATATGCAAGTCCATAACCATTAAAATTGTTTCCTCACCTGCAACACTTACTAGGTATTTTTTTTAATACTTTTCTTTATATTAATAATTACTTGATACATACATGTTCGCTCTGTGAGTTCCTTATTCATCATATTAGTGCCTGACAAGAAACATATGCTGGACTGAGCTGAATCTTTACAATATCTCTGCTCAATCATTTTTAATTTCTTTTTTTCTCCCCATGGCCAGTTTCCAATAGACTCTAACCCCCAAACATCTCTTCTCTCAGTTACTCCTTTCTTTTCCCACTGCCTTTGTATTACTTCAAGTCCTCATAATCTCTGATAAGGCTGTTGAAAGAATTAACAAGATAATGTACAGCACTTCTTAAACACTGAAGTGCTAGAAAAAAAAAATCTAAAGTATTATTTTTGCTGATACCTTTTTTAGATGTTGAAAGGGTTTACTTGGCTGGGCGTGTGGCTCACGCCTGTAATCTTAGCACTTTGGGAGGCCGAGGTGGGTGGATCACCTGAGGTCAGGAGTTCAAGACCAGCCTGGCCATCATGGTGAAACCCTATTCTTTAAAAAAAAAAAAAAGGGTTTACTGATAATTTGTGCCACTTGTCTTTCCAAAACAAAATTCGAAACATTCTATTGTAATCACCCCTCCCTGACTGAGCTCCTGTTTCCCACCAGAGTCTATGATAACCAGGACTGCCCAGTTAGTGGGCAACTCTGACCACATCTCTGCCATACTCAAAACTCCCAATAACTTCTCAACCAAACCCTTCTTAGCCTGGCTGTTTAAAGTGCTTTACAAACAAGCATGACTAGGCCTTGTTTCCTAGCTTCTCTCCTGCTGCTCCCCTGCACATCAATTAAACATTGGCCTGTTTAAGAAAAGCTAGTAGGCAATTTCAGTGATCCAGAAGAAAGGCAACAAGAGGCTGGAACATGCCATAGTCAGTGTTCTCACACAATTTGTGAAAGACCAGGGTTCAGGTCCGATTTAAGGAGAAGGTTCAGTATAAAAAGCAGTATATTGAGGCCAGGTGCAGAGGTTCATGCCTATAATCCTAGCACTCTGGGAGGCGAAGACAGGCAGATCACTTGAGCTCAGGAGTTCAAGACCAGCCTGGGCAACATAGTAAAATCCTGCCTCTCGCAAAAATACAAAAACAGCTGGGTGTGGTAGTGCGCGTCTGTGATCCCAGCTACTTGCAAGGCTGAGGTGGGAGGATCACGTGGGCCCAGGAGGCAGAGGTTGCAGTGAGCTGAGATCACACCACTGCATGCCAGCCTAGGCCATGGAGTGGGAGGGGCAGTGGGAGGGGAGGAGATATTGGAGGCAATAAATTTGCCAGGGTTTGAGTCTCAACTTTTATTTACTAGCTATGCAACCTAGGGTAAGGTACTTTACCTAGCTAAATCTAACTTACCTCCTTGGGAAATGGGGATAATAACTAACAACAGTGTTGTAATTAACAGAATACTTACAAAATATTTTTATTGCAAAAGTTTGAAGGAAGAGACAATAGCTTACTCTTTTCTAAATCCCTCACCATCCTTGTGCAGAAAGGAGCCACTCAATAATACTTGAAGTGAAAAACCATATTTGTAAACTGTGGGAATTATTCTTTTGGCCTCAGGGCAAAGGCCAAAACACCTTAAGAACTCTGCTCTCATCATTAAATAGTAACAGTTTCAGGAAGGTATATTATTCTTTCTGATATTTTGAGCAGCTCTAGGATTTAGGAGAATGAGAAGGAAGCATTAGCAGTCAAGTACTTACTTGGGTTTTATAGGAGGCAGTCCAGGAGAGTAGAGCCAGGCATTCCAATCAACTTGATTGAGAACATCAACCTGTGAATATTAAGAATTCACAGTTTACAACAGAATACACTTTCCTGTTGAAAAAAAGAAGTTAAACAAACTTCTAAGTCCTTAGATACATAATTTTGACTATTCTGCCATATCAAGATAATTTCTAAATTTCTTTTAAAAATTAATATTTTAAATTGATAGATCATAATTGTGTTTACTTATGTGACACAATGTGATGTTTTGATATATGTACCCACCAGGGACTAAGTCAAGCTAATTAATATATCCATCACCTCATCTATCTTCTAAAATTTATATTCATCACTAACGTGCTGTTAAATAATTAAAATAGGAAAATTAAGTAAGCACTTATAGACAATCAAATTCTATTATTGATGACCTCTCTGAAATAGGAAAATTCTACAGTTAGTTCACGTGGTTGGGATCACATTTAAGATAGAAAAAATATGCAATGAGAGATCGAGTCCTATAACAAGTTCTGAACCAATACTACTATTAGATAATTCAAGTTAACCTAATCAGTCAACAAACAGATTATACTGAGCATGAAAAATAGAAAAGGTTTTAAAATCCAACCTTATCTTTAAAATGGGAATACAGGAAATCCTTCCAGTCATCAGTAGTTATGCTCTTATAGGAAAATTTCTCAACGTAAGCTTTTAAGAATCCTAGGAAAACCTCTAAGAGTAAAAAAGAAAATAAATCAATTCATAGAAAGATAGTTATTTGACATTTTGTGTGTGTGTGTGTGGCATTGTACTATTAACCACAGAGAACAGAGAACATTCAGAGAATAAGGAAATCTATGAAAACTTTTAGAGTGAAAGAATGTTCAGAAAAGGAGGTGGGACTTAAGTTGGGCCTTGAAGAATACATGTAATTCAGTGGAAGGGAGAAGAGAACTTCTCATTATAGATAAGGGGGTAACACACAAAGACACAGAAAAGAAATGCACAACCCAAGCTCTAAAAGCAATTAACCCTCATATGACTAGAAAGGAGAAAAATAAGACTGGACAGGTGGAACGGGTCCAGGTGACAGACAGTCTTCCAAGTCAATCAACCAAGGAGAACACCTCAATGTCCAATGGGGGATGGGTACATAACTCAGCATACCTTTGTAATGAAATAGCATGATGGCATTAAAAAGTATCAGACAGGAGGACTCAAGATGGAGCTGTGAGAACAACCCAGGATTGGAGCTCTCGTTGAATCCGCAAACGGTGAGTCGGAGCTGCATTTCCAGACTGATCTTTGTTGCCCACAGAACGGGGAAACTCCCAAGTATAAAAAAGACACGGGACGCCAGGCAGTAGGTCTGCCTGGCGAAGCCGGCACCCGGGGTGGCGGCGGCCGGCCCTACCCAGCAATCCCCACAGGGCGCGCTTGTCCGGGTGCCCTGTTGAACCGGCAACCTGAGACTTGAGAGGGCTGGACTTGAGACTGAATGAGACTTGGACAGTAGGCCAGCCCAGGGGATTGCAGGGACAGATCGTTTGGGACACCCAGTGGGACAAACAAAACCGCGATTTCAAACTATCCCGAGCAGACGGTCCGAGACGCTCTGTGGGGGAGGGGCGTCCACCATTACCGAGGCAACCCGCCCAAACTGAGACACAGGCCCACTGCTGAAGCAGCCAGCCGTTGCCGAGGCAACCCGTCCCTACTGAGATACATGCCCACTGCTGACGCAGCCTGCCGTTGCTGAGGCAACACGCTACAACGAAGAGACTCTGCCGCAGGGCGTGGCGGAGACCACAGCAGAGCCTGCAGGAACAGGGCGAATCACACAACAGCAGGGCAGAGCCTCGGCAGCCAAACAGTGGCTAGTCTGCCTTCTAGCTGGGCAGGACACCTCATCGGACATCGAAAAATAAAGCCCGAACCCCCCAACACACAGCATTTGAGAAAAAAAGGGTTTTTTTAATGAGCTCTGTTGCAGCAGAATCAAACATAGCAGCCTAACAGCCCTGAATGAACAACAGAGCTCACAGCTCAGCAATTGAGCTCCAAAAAAGTACAGACTGTCTCCTCAAGCAGCTCCCTGACCCCTCTATATCCAAAAGACTGACATTTGGCACGCATCATCCTGGGACAAAGATAGCAGAAAAAGAAATGGGTAGCATCCCTCACTGTGCCACAGCTGCTAGAGGTGCACCCCAGACAAGCAGGGCCTGGAGTGGACCTCAGCAGTCGTACAGCGAAGTGGCTAGGCTGGTAGAAGGAAAACCAAGTAACAGAAATACTTCATCATCAACAATCTGGGTGTCCACTCAGAGACCCAATCGAAAAGTCAGCAACTACGCAGACGACAAGCAGATAAACCCACAAAGATGGGAAGAAACCAGCGAAAAAAGGAGGAAAACACCCGAAACCAGAACACCTCACCTCCTAGAAATGACCAAAACTCCTCACCAGCAAGGGAGCAAAGCTGGACGGAGAATGACTGTGACGAAATGACGGAATTAGACTTCAGAAGGTGGATAATGAGAAACTTTTGTGAGCTAAAAGAACATGTATTAAATCAATGCAAAGAAACTAAGGAACTTAAAAAAAGATATGAGGAAATGATAACAAGAATGGATAACTTAGAGAGGAATATGAATGAATTAAAGGAGCTGAAAAACACAATACGAGAACTTCGCGAAGCATGCACAAGTTTCAATAGCTGAATTGACCAAGCAGAAGAAAGAATATCTGAAGTCGAAGATCAACTCAGTGAAATAAAACGAGAAACCAAGATTAGAGAAAAAAGCGCAAAAAGGAATGAACAAAGTCTCCAAGAAATGTGGGACTATGTGAAAAGACCTAATCTACATTTGATAGGTGTACCAGAAGGGGACGAAGAGAATGAATCCAAGCTGGAAAATACTCTTCAGGACATCATCCAGGAAAACTTCCCCCACCTAGCAAGACAGGCCAACACTCAAATGCAGGAAATACAGAGAACACCACAAAGATATTCATCAAGAAGAGCAACCCCAAGGCACATAATCGTCAGATTCAACAAGGTTGAAATAAAGGAGAAAATACTAAGGGCAGCCAGAGAGAAAGGTCGAGTTACCCACAAAGGGAAGCCCATCAGACTCACAGGAGATCTCTCGGCAGAAACACTACAAGCCAGAAGAGAGTGGGGGCCAATATTCAACATTCTTAAAGAAAAGAACTTTCAACCCAGAATTTCATATCCAGCCAAACTGAGCTTCAGAAGTGAAGGAAAAATAAAATCCTTTGCGAACAAGCAAGTACTCAGAGATTTTGTCACCACCAGGCCAGCTTTACAAGAGCTCCTAAAAGAGGCACTACACATAGAAAGGAACAACCAGTACCAGCCATTCCAAAATCACACTAAAAGTTAAAGAGCATCAACATAATGAAGATTCTACAACAACTAACAGGCAAAACAGCCACTTAGCATCAAAATGGCAGTATCAAATTCACACATAACAATATTAACCCTAAATGTAAATGGACTAAATGCACCAATCAAAAGACACAGACTGGCAAATTGGATAAAAATCCAAAACCCATCGGTGTGCTGTATCCAGGAAACCCATCTCACATGCAAGGATACACAAAGGCTCAAAATAAAGGGATGGAGGAAGATTTACCAAGCAAATGGAGAGCAAAAAAAAGCAGGAGTTGCAATTCTCATCTCTGATAAAATAGACTTTAAAGCAACAAAGATCAAAAGAGACAAAGAAGGCCATTACATAATGGTAAAAGGATCGATACAACAAGAAGAGCTAACGATCGTAAACATATATGGACCCAATGCAGGAGCACCCAGATACATAAGGCAAGTTCTTAATGACTTACAAAGAGACTTAGACTCCCACACAATAATAGTGGGAGACTTTAACACTCCACTGTCAATATTAGACAGATCAACCAGACAGAAAATCAACAAGGATATCCAGGGCTTGAACTCAGACCTGGAGCAAGCAAACCTGATAGACATTTACAGAACTCTCCACCCCAAATCCACAGAATACACATTCTTCTCAGCACCACATCACACCTACTCAAAAATTGACCACATAATTGGAAGTAAAGCACTGCTCAACAAATGCAAAACAACTGAAATCATAACAAACAGCCTCTCAGACCATAGTGCAATCAAGTTAGAACTCAGAATTCAGAAACCAACCCAGAAACGCACAGCTTCATGGCAACTGAACAACTGGCTCATGAATGTTGACTAGATAAACAATGAAATGAACGCAGAAATTAAGAAGTTCTTCGAAACCAATGAGAACGAAGACACAACATGCCAGAACCTCTGGGACACATTTAAAGCAGTCTCTAGAGGAAAGTATATAGCAATAAGTGCCCATATGAGGAGAATGGAGAGATCCAAAATTGACACCCTATCGTCAAAATTGAAAGAGCTAGAGGAGCAAGATCAAAAAAACTCAAAACCCAGCAGAAGACAAGAAATAACTAAGATCAGAGCTGAACTGAAGGAGATTGAGATACAAAAAACCCTTCAAAAAATCAATAAATCCAAGAGCTGGTTTTTTGAAAAGATCAACAAAATAGACAGACCACTAGCCAGATTGATTAAAAAGAAAAGAGAGAACAACCAAATAGATGCAATAAAAAATGATAAAGGGGAAATCACCACAGATTCCACAGAAATTCAAACCATCATCAGAGAATATTACAAACAACTCTATGCACATAAACTAGTAAACCTGGAAGAAATGGATAAATTCCTGGACTCCTGTGTCCTCCCAAGCCTAAACCAGGAGGAAGCTGAAACTATGAATAGACCAATAACAAGGTCAGAAGTCGAGGCAGCAATTAAGAGCCTACCACACAAAAAAAGCCCAGGTCCAGACGGGTTCACAGCCGAATTCTACCAGACACACAAAGAGGAGCTGGTACCATTCCTTCTAAAACTATTTCAAACAATCCAAAAAGAGGGAATACTTCCCAAATCATTTTACAAGACCAACATCATCCTGATACCAAAACCCGGCAGAGACCCAACAAGAAAAGAAAACTTCAGGCCAATATCCATGATGAACATAGATGCAAAAATCTTCAATAAAATATTGGCAAGCCGAATGCAACAGCAAATCAAAAAACTTATTCACCATGATCAAGTAGGATTCATCCCAGGGATGCAAGGCTGGTTCAACATACGCAAGTCTATAAATGTAATTCACCACATAAACAGAACCAAAAGCAAAAACCACATGATTATCTCAATTGACGCAGAGAAGGCATTTGACAAAATTCAACAGCCCTTTATGCTAAAAACCCTCAATAAACTCGGTATCGATGGAACGTATCTCAAAATAATAAAAGCTATTTATGGCAAACCAACAGCCAATATCATACTGAATGGGCAAAAACTGGAAGCATTCCCTTTGAAATCTGGCACTAGACAAGGATGCCCTCTTTCACCACTCCTATTCAATATAGTTCTGGAAGTTCTAGCCAGAGCAATCAGGCAAGAAAAAGAAATAAAGGGTATTCAAATAGGAAAGGTGGAAGCCAAATTGTCTCTATTTGCAGACGACATGATAGTATACCTAGAAGACCCCATCACCTCAGCCCAAAAACTCCTGAAACTGATAAGCAACTTCAGCAAAGTCTCAGGATATAAAATCAATGTGCAAAAATCACAAGCATTCGTCTACACCAATAACAGACTTAAAGAAAGCCAAATCAAGAACGAACTGCCATTCACAATTGCTACAAAAAGAATAAAATACCTTGGAATACAACTCACAAGGAACGTAAGGGACCTCTTCAAGGAGAACTACAAACCACTGCTCAACGAAATCAGAGAGGACACAAACAGATGGAGAAACATTCCATGTTCATGGTTAGGAAGAATTAATATCGTGAAAATGGCTATACTGCCCAAAGTAATTTACAGAATCAACGCTATCCCCATCAAGCTACCATTGACTTTCTTCACAGAACTGGAAAAAAACCACCATGAACTTCATATGGAACCAAAAGAGAGCCCGCATAGCCAAGTCAATTCTAAGCAAAAAGAAATCAGCGGGGGGCATCACACTACCGGATTTCAAACTATACTACAAGGCTACAGTAATCAAAACAGCATGGTACTGGTACCAAAACAGAGAAATAGACCAATGGAACAAAACAGAGGCACTGGAGGCAACACAACATATCTACAACTATACAATCTTTGATAAACCTGACAAAAACAAGCAAGGGGGAAAGGATTCCCTGTTTAACAAATGGTGTTGGGAAAACTGGCTAGCCATGTACAGAAAGCAGAAACTGGACCCCTTCCTGACACCTTACACTAAAATTAACTCCAGATGGATTAAAGACTTAAACATAAGACCTGGCACAATAAAAACCCTAGAAGGAAATCTAGGCAAAACTATCCAGGACATAGGAGTAGGCAAGGACTTTATGAACAAAACACCAAAAGCATTGGCAACAAAAGCCAAAATAGACAAATGGGACCTAATCAAACTCCACAGCTTCTGGCAAACTCCACGGCAAAAGAAACAGTCACTAGAGTGGATCGGCAACCAACAGAATGGGAAAAAATTTTTGCAGTTTACCCATCTGACAAAGGGCTGATATCCAGAATTTACAAAGAACTCAAACGGATTTACAGGAAAAAAACAAACAAGCCCATTCAAAAGTGGGCAAAGGATATGAACAGACACTTTACGAAAGAAGACATATATGAGGCCAACAATCATATGAAAAAATGCTCATCGTCACTGGTCATCAGAGAGATGCAAATCAAAACCACATTGAGATACCATCTCACGCCAGTTAGAATGGCGATCACTAAAAAATCTGGAGACAACAGATGCTGGAGAGGATGTGGAGAAAAAGGAACACTTTTACACTGTTGGTGGGAGTGTAAATTGGTTCAACCATTGTGGAAGACAGTGTGGCGATTCCTCAAGGCCTTAGAAATAGAAATTCCATTTGACCCAGCAATCCCATTACTGGGTATATATCCAAAAGACTATAAATCGTTCTACTATAAGGACACATGTACACGAATGTTCATTGCAGCACTGTTTACAATAGCAAAGACCTGGAATCAACCCAAATGCCCACTGATAATAGACTGGATTGGGAAAATGTGGCACATATACACCATGGAATATTATGCAGCAATCAGAAATGATGAGTTTGTGTCGTTTGTAGGGACATGGATGAATCTGGAGAACGTCATCCTCAGCAAACTGACACAAGAACAGAAAATGAAACACCGCATATTCTCACTCATAGGTGGGTGATGAAAAATGAGAACACATGGACATAGAAAGGGGAGTACTAAACACTGGGGTCTATTGGAGGGAAAAGGGGAGGGCCAGTGGGAGGGGGAGATGGGGAGGGATAGCCTGGGGAGAAATGCCAAATGTGGGTGAAGGGGAGAAGGAAAGAAAAGCACACTGCCATGTGTGTACCTACGCAACTGTCTTACATGCTCTGCTCATGCACCCCAAAACCTAAAATCCAATAAAAAATTAAAAAAAAAAAAAAAAGTATCAGACAGATTTGTATGTACTGACAATAGGATGTATGTGAACTATTGAGCAAAACAAAACACAAATGCAGAACCAATATATAGTATGATCCTTTTTTTGTAATTATATGTATTTATTTGTCTGCTTAATTTACACCTAGAAAATGATCTGGAGCCAGACACACCAAACTGCTAACAGTGGTTACCCCTGGGGAGTGGAAAGGGGGTTGATGGACTTTCACTTGTTACTCTTATAAACTTCTGTACCCTAGAAATGTTTTCATTTCTACTGTTATCCTAATTTCAAAAACTAATGAGATTTTTTAAAAAATGAAGCAGCATAATTTAAACCTTAGGGGTTATTAATTGTTTTAAGTTGAGAGAAACATTAGAAAACAGTACAGATTTCTTCAGCAGCTACATGCAGATGAATTGGAAGTATTAAATGGCACAAAACAATAGTTTACAATTCTTCCTAATTCTCACATTACCCTCAAAAATAAAAATAAAAAAATCATAAAATACTCACTACTTACCTGGTCCTCCAAGCAGTTGTTCAAGGTAAAAAAGTAAAGCAAAGCCCTTCTCATAGGGAACTGAAGAATAAGCTACATCAGGGTCTACATCTGTCAGATCAACCACAAGTTTGGTGAAAGGATGTGTCTCCCCAAATGTCTTCACCTGCAAGACATGAAATTAGATGGATATTCGTATAGAAAGACTGTATCACCACACAAATAAGCTAATAAGGAAGTATTACTTCACTCAGTGGTGTAACTTTAGGGGAATCTAGAACTTAAACTTGGAGATTGGAATACTAGGGTATGTTGGCATACACTTCTGGAAATCTATTAATAGAATGCTTACTTATGTAATGTTCTCTGATATTTCTTGCTGAATAATATAGGCTTTATTCTTATAAAAAGACTAGAAAAATGATTTAATGCCTGGTCAGCAAATTCGGCTTTCTGGAGGCAGCATTTAAAAATGACATAAATGTACCAAATAAAATTCAAACACAGTAAACAGCTATATTAATAGCAAAGACCAGTGAGGTCCCATAGCTCCCAGTTTAGACCAGGTCACCAAAACTACCTTACATAGAACAATGAATGGCATGGGATCAATATAGTGTTATACCAGCATTGACTTCACTTTCCACATTTGTAAAAATGACTTTTTGGTTGCTACATAGTAAAGGTGCTTTTACAAAAACTCAGTTTTTAACACCTATACAACTTCGGATGAAGGTTTTTAAAACTTTGAGACTCCTTTACCGAATTCTGTAGCTCTCCCCATCCTCCCAGAGCATTAAAATGTCTGAACTTTTCACCAAACAATCGTCCGCAAATGTGGCGTTCCAAGTACACAGTATGTCCTTCATTTAACCTGAAAAAAAAATTGTTTTAATAAAAACACGGACAGAGCAGAGAAGAAAAGACATTTCAATCAAGAAGATATTTTCTTTTTGGCTTTTCTACAGAGGAAAGCAGTTGTAAGGCATGACCACTACAGTCTAATCCAACTCTGGCTCCCAGGCAGTCAATCCAGACCAATGGGAAGCCCAGCCCAGCAGATGGCAGCAGGGAAAGTTAAGCCCTGGTTCTGCTCTTGCATGCCCATATGTTAAAAGTGTGACTATATCAGGAACTCTAGATAAACATAAACTTAACACCTAGACTGAACCTAACACTATAATAAGTGTTACGGAATTAAAAAAAAAATCCTTGTTGTCTGAGCACAGTGGTCCACATCTGTAAGCCTAGCAGTTTGGGAGGCCAATCGAGCGAATTACTTGAGGTCAGGAGTTCGGGACCAGCCTGGCCAACATGGCAAAACCCCATCTCTACTAAAAATACAAAAATTAGCCGGGTGTGGTGGCATGCATCTGTAGTCCCAGCTACTCAGGAGGCTAAGGCATAAGAATCGCTTGAACTGGGAGGCAGGGGTTGCAGAGAGCCAAGATCGTACTACTACACCCCAGCCTGGGCAACAGAGTGAGATTCCATCTCAAAAAAAAAAAATTTCTGTTGGCTAAGCACAGTGGCTTATGTCTGTAATCTTAGCACTTTGGGAGGCAGAGGTGGGCAGATTACTTGAGCTCAGGAGTTCGAGACCAGCCTGGGCAACATGGTAAAATCCCGTCTCTACAAAAAATACAAAAATTAGCCAGGCACAGTAGCATGTGCCTGTAGTCTCAGCCACTTGGGAGGCTGAGGAGGGAGGATTGCAACCCTGGAGTTGCAGTTATCAGAGATCACACCACTCCACTACAGCCTGGGCAACACAGTGAGACCTTGTCTCCAATTAAAAAATCCCTGCCTACCAAAGAGATGGTAACGAAGAAAAACGAGATATACACAAAACAATTCTGAGTAGTAAGAGGCAAGGGAAAAAAAAAATCAATAATAAGAACCAATAAATAAATCATAACAAAAATCTTACCAAAAGTGATCCCAAGTTTTGTTGGTCACTAAATTCCCTGTCCAGCTATGAGATATTTCATGTGCAATGACCTACAGAAAACAGTGTAAGTGATTAATAGAAAGACTAATTATCAACCTAAAATAACCCATTCTGTAAATACTCCATGTTACTCAATTTTTAAAAAATATTAGCTGAGACTTTCAGGGAGTTAGTTCAGCAACAATCTTTAATTTAACCAAAGGCACACATACAAATATGATATAAAGTAATTAGAAAACAAAAATTACTTAGAAAATACTAGATAAATCACTGCATTAAACATATTTCACAAATATATGAAAAGATCATAAAATTTCCTGAAATCTATTAAATCTAATTAATATAATAATGTGACAAGAGTCCCCAAATTGTCTTTTATAACCCTATCTTTAACATAAAAATGCAAGGAGCGTTTTAAAATCTGTTGATGTAACACTTTTTGACGGTAAAGCCATAATGAAAAAGTTTAACTTACATTGGAGAGTGACTTATCTCCTGCCTACAAAAAAAAAAATTACATTAATATTTTAGTAATCAAATTACAGACTATCTAAAACACTGCCTACCTAAACACCTAGTATACTGGCGCTGGTGGTTCACTGCATTTCTACTACAGCACATCAAAGAGGTTAAAAGAGACATTAACTGAAAACACAAAAAAATACAGAACTAAAAATTAGCATCATTCTTTCTTGCCCTAATTCTAGGAAATTTTTGCAATACAATGAGAGCCAGTCTATTTGTGTCTAACTTCCATGAAACATTCCTTCTACTTCCATTTTTATATCTGCTCTTATTTACCCATCACTTTCGTGCTCTCCTATTACCCAAAATATATTAAATAAAACTTTAGAGTATTCTGTGGTGTATTTTACTTATTTTATTGCTAATTCATCACTCATTTGGTTCTAGGAAGAATTTAAAGTAGCTCACAGGCATATTAAACACAGCAGTGTGCCATGGGCCTAATCCTTTCCTATACATGGTATACTAATTTTTTTTCATTGTACCTGAATTTTTTTTAATTTACCAAATGTAAATGATTTAGTTTGTTTGTCTTGGATACATAATTTACCAATGAATTGTTGTTACACAGCACCCCCACACCCAACATCCCCAAATACCATGAACATAATATTCTCCTTCCCCAAATGGCCAGATTATTTTCCTTTCGAAAACGAGAGTAAGGCCGGGCGTGGTGGCTCATGCCTATAAGCCTAGCACTTGGGAGGCTGAGGCAGGTGGATCATGAGGTCATGAGATCGAGACCATCTTGGCCAACATGGTGAAACCTTGTCTCTACTAAAGATACAAAACTTAGTAAGGTGTGGTGGTGTGCGTGTGTAATCCCAGCTACTTAGGAGGCTCAGGCAGGAGAATCACTTGAACCCGGGAGGCAGAGGTTGCAGTGAGCCAAGATCATGCCACTGCACTCCAGCCTGGGCAACAGAGCCAGACTCCATCTCAAAACAAAAAAGAAACGAGATTGTGATAACCACAATAAACAATAAAATAAGAAACAAGGGATACATGAACAAGAGAAAGATTTTTATATGTATATACATTATTAGGACTCTCAAGTTCTTTACATACACACACACACACACACACACACTATTAGGACTCTTAAGGTTCTTTCTAGCTAAGTTGATTTTTGAAAGATGGCAATTTCAAACGAAGAAATATTACACTTACCAGTAGAGTGGGGGTTACAAAAGTAAGGCAAGGATTCTCCATGCCACCATAAGGGAAGGACGGTGGCAGGACCAATAGGTCATACTGTCCCCATACATATGGTCCTCCCAGATCTTCTGCAATTTTAAGCATAGATTCAGTCTGAAAAATCAACACATATATGTTTGTATCTCTTAATTATCACCATTGTACATTTCTTTTTTTTTTATTGCATTTTAGGTTTTGGGGTACATGTGCAGAACATGCAAGATAGTTGCATAGGTACACACATGGCAGTGTGATTTGCTGCTATCCCTCCCCAGCTGTTCCCCCACTGTCCCTCCCCTATTCCCCCCAAGAGACCCCAGTGTGTAGTGCTCCCCTCCCTGTGTCCATGTGTTCTCATTGTTCATCACCTGCCTATGTACATTTCTTAAAATCATATACTGCTTTCTGTGAAGTTTACAAGTTGATGCTTACTTTAAATGAAAAGGATAAAAAGAATGTAGCAACTACAAATCTACATAAAAGACAATCTGATTTTTTCCCTGTATCACTTAAAACTATCACATTTGACACTGAAAATCTTCAATCTACTGTCTATCACAGTGACTACAAAGGAAAACTACATGACCAACCTCAGAAAACTCATAAGCAGACTTTTCCACCTGCTCTTTCTCAGACCACACCAAAGTTCTTGGGCCAATTTGTCTGCAAGATTAAAAAGCTTAATTACAAAGAAATTCACAGCAAATGGTCCATCTGATGCTAAAAGGTATTTAACGTCTTGTAGACAAAACCTTACAGTGAGAGTACATTTACCATGTGCTTCTGGGAAAGGGATGAGGTTATATGGCATGAGCTGCAAACCTGCTGTTGTATATGCAGCAATAGATATGCAGCTCTCTAAGGAGGTACAGGCTAGGCCACAGGAAAATCAGAGGCAAAGTGTCCCCAATTAGTTTGTTGCCTCTTATAAGACCTCTTGAGAGTCTCATTGAGGGATGCCTCAATCTCACAATTACAGAAATCCAGTCACAACTCATAAGAAACTATTGGATACAGGGTCTCATTCTGTTTCCCAGGCTGAGTGTAGTGGCACCATCACAGCTTACCACAGCCTCTGCCTCCTGGGCTCAAGTAATCCTTCTACCTCAGCCTCCTGAGCAGCTGGAACTACAGGCATATACCACCATGCCCGACTAATTTTTGATTTTTTTGTAGAGACATGGGCTCATTTATGTGGCCCAGGCTGGTCTCGAATTCCTGGGCTCAAGCAATCCTCCCACCTTGGCCTCCCAAAATGGGAATACAGGCCTGAACCACTGAGCCCAGCCTACAAGACTATTCTAGAAAAGGAAGGGGTATAAACTTTGCTATGCACTTAAAGGTTGAATACTCTTCTATAAGAAGAAACAAATAGAAAAGGAAGGAAATCCTGTCAGATGCTATAGCTTGGATAAACCTTAAGGTCATTACACCAGATGAAATAAGCCAGACACAAAAAGATAAAATCATACTGTATGATTCTACTTATGTGAGGTATCTAAAGTAGTCAAATTCACAGGAGCAGAAAACAGAATAGGCGGTCAGGGGCTGGCGGTGGAGGTTGGGGAGAGGAGCTCTATTTAATGCTACAGAGTTTCAGTTTTGCAAAATAAAAAATTTCTGAAGATCTGTTTCACAACAGTGTGAATATATTCAACACTACTGAATGGCACACTTAAAAAAACAGTTAAGTGTGTTTAAAACTAAGAAACAAAAAATTAAGAAGAAAGGGCACTCAAGCTATTGGTAAAACATTAATAAAATATCTTACATATCTGTAATATTTGTAGGCTTCCAAGTGCTTTAATGTATTTTATCTAATTTGTTTCACATAACCACCCTATGGGGTAGCAATGTAAGACATTATCATTTCTAGGATAAGGAAACAGAGATTAAGAGTGACTTGTTCCAGCTTACAAGAGAATCCAGATCTCTAACTAAAGGTAAAGCTCATTTGGAATACTTGAAAAATCTAAGGGGTAACTGGTCAAGATTTTTAAATGTAAAATTAATTTGTTGCCTACATTTTATATTTAGATTTGAATTTTTCTAGAGCTGTCGGCTTGATTATCTGAAGAAATAGGCAAATCGTCAACCAATTAACCTTGAGAGACGTTCAAGATGCCTAAGTTTTGATCTTTTCACAAACCTGAAAATTTTTCCAAAAGCTCACCTGCTTTCTAAAGCTCCCACAACTAAAGCAATCAGGTAGCAGGGTATCGGCACCTAAAGAGGGCAAACAAAAGCACACGCCAGGCTTCCATTAGTGTTCACAAGTGTCACGCAGTAAGTCAATTCAGATTTAAAAGTAAGTAAATTCCCTTTTAAATCTCCTAATATTAGTAGGGATAACTTTCCTTTTATACTTCTCATATAGTTCTCATTTGTAACATATAGCTTGAAATTGTGATACAAAACATTGTTCAAAACATCTATTTTCCTTTTATTCTACTTGGAACAAAAGCTTCTCACATGTGAAAAACAAGATCACACATAATATTAAAAGGTGCATTTTAAGCATGCCTGAAAAAGTAATCTACAGGAAGCAACTGTGCTTTTCCTGTGTGTTTGTCTTTTTCCTTCTGATTTTTAAAATGTTTTGTTTTTTAATTCCTTTATGTTTCAAAGCACTATTGGCATGTTGTAGAGACAGAGTAACTTGACAATAAGTAGATGCCAAAGTTATGGGAGCTTGGAACCACAGAAGCTGGAATGGAAGCCAAATTATCCATTGTGAGGTCAATTAAGAAAACTCTTTCTCTGTCTCTCTCTCTCTCTTTCTCACCCGCATCCATACACATGCTGTTCATTAAAGGTCAAAGATATCTGTCTAATTACCAGGACTGTAACTGAGTGCTTTTTCGGTCTTGACTCCTCCATCTGCAGTCACTCTCAACAGCCACTTGCCCACACCATAGTATCAGGGTAGGTGAAAGCATAAGAACACAAAAAAACAGGAAGCCAGCCCCTGACTGGAGTGAGGGAAAGTGAAAACAGGCACGCTCCCTACTGTCCCTACAACAAACCCTCTCTTCAATGCAACATTCTGTAAGTAGGACAAAACCCTTTAAAAGCACAAAAGAAAAAGAAATGAAGAAATTAAAAACCAAAAGCTGTTCTCAAAATTCTGAAATATTTCAAAAGTAATTTTGCCCTCTGGAGGTGTACAAGCTAATTGTAGTTTACTGCCAATGAAAACAAAAACCTAGACCATAGGACCTTACCTTTTGGATGAATTTGTATATTTTTCTGCTTGGGTCTTCTGGGTCAGGTGCTTCTCCATCACGAATAGCACTCATAAGTGCCACCAGTTCTTTAGGAACAGACACCTAATCAAGGAGACAAATCATTTCTAGTCATAAATAAAAGCTTCTATGTGTCTTAAACTACATATGTAAAATAACCTTTTCCTGTCCTTGACTAATAGACTATGAACACAGAAAGTATATGCATATATATATACATATATATGTATATATATATATATAAAGTATATATATCTATACAGAAAGTATATATGTATATATATCAGTTTTATAAATAAAATTAGCAATATGGAAAACTGGCTTCTTTAAAAGCAAACGTTAATTTCTATCCATTCACCCATGTACATTAAGAGCAGAGTTTTGGTAGAAACTGGATTAAAATCCCAGCTCTGCCACCTACTAACTAACTGAACAAACTTGGGCAAATAAATATATCCCCTGAGCCTCAGTTTCCCCAACAAATAAGTGTAAAACTTCAAAGGCTTGTTGCAAGAAATAAATAAGAGTCCAGCACCACGCCTGGCAATGGCAGCCACCATCCCTGTTCCCCAGACACTCATAAAACAGATTCAAAAGGACATTATACTCACTGTAGGACAGAATAGTTTTGAACAACTTTTTTTTCATACTTGGAGTTACAAATAGAGGAATCTTTTAAAAGTAGTAGCTGTGAAAAATTAAAATTTATTGCCAAAAACTGTGAAGCAATTTTCTCCGGAAATCTGTATGGAAAAGACCCTTATGGGTCATTTAACTGTGTATCCTAGCTCCGTGATTCTGCAAGTTTGATTTCTGACGAATGCCAGAATAAAGGACTCTGCCAAGTATTAAAGATCAAGCAAGAATACATTCCAGTAGGGGCTAAAGTTTCATTTCTTCTTGCATGGCTCAGGATGCAAAACTCTGATGAGGGAGGCACAGAATTCGGAGCTCCTGAACCAGTGCTACAATAATTATAGATTCTAAAGCACAAAAGCCTTCAGGAAATAATGTGGTTTAGCCACCTTCCTTCATTTAGGTGGTGATACGTTATATATATGAGCAACTTAGGTTGTGGTCATAAAACTTGCTCACGGGTCACATTATTATTTATTTATTTTTTTAGAAATGGGGTCTTGCTCTGTTGCCCAGGCTGGCCTTGAACTTCTGAGTTCAAGTGATCTTCCCACCTCAGCCACCCGAGTAGCTGGGACTTCACACAGTTATTAAGTGGTAGAGAAGAACCAGAGCCCTGGAATTCTTTGCCTCCAAGTATAATACATCATTGCACTATCCTAGGTGTAATATGGTTGTGGGATGATTTGGGAAGTAAGAAGTCCCCATAAATACGGGCTGGTACTCATTCTATTTGCTTGGTCTAAGTAGGTCTAGCCTCTGATATAGGGATTATTTAGTAATTATAGTCCACCTTTTCCAAAAAGGATTAGCGGTACCTACCAAAGGAATAAGTTGACATTGTATACAGACAAGTCTGGAATACATGCCCACTAGGTTTATATGGCTACAGAATGCATTTATAGAAACCTGAATCCTGCAAATGTCAATTTTTAAAAGTTAAGTAACAATTGTTCCTAAGTTCTTATTTTTACATCTAAGATCCTGAATTCCTTTTTAACTGTCAGATTGGCTTCCATTTCCTTTTTTTCCACAGTTAAAATGTTTAAAACTGCTTTTAAAGTAGAGATTCAGAATGAGTGCCACAGCCTCTTTTTTATATATTTCAGGTAGAATTTCATTAAGAAAAATAATTCTAATAGGAGGAAAATAGAAAAATAAATAATTCTAGCTCTAAGAATTCAATTAATATATCTGCTTATCATTTATACTGTATTTGCTGATTTGCATCATTTAATTCATCTAATAATTTGTAATAATTACCTCTGCAGTATAGGTTAATTTCACAGAAGGAGTATCCTGACAAGGAAGGACTGCTCTGCAGTGGATGGCCTGAAAGAGGGAGAAACAAGAAGAAATAGTTATTTCTCTTTCTTATAAATCAAGTCATTAAGAAATCATTAAAAATTGCAGCATTGTTCTTAGACACACACACACACACACACACACACACACACACACAGATATTTATTTATTTATTTATTTATTTATTTATTTATTTATTTATTTAAAACAGGTCTCATTTCTTGGGATCTTTTAAAGTCCAAAAATAGATTCTTGGACTTTTACAAAATTAGAGTTTCCACTTTAATCTGTGGTTAACTCTCACATTTCAGCTGAAGCATGGAGAAACTGTTAAGTAGTGTTTCCTACTCTATGCTCTGGGTGACAGTAGTGCCCAGTGAGAAGCTTTTAGAAACCTGAGAAAAAGGGGCTCTGTAGTGAAACAGACCTGAGAAGCATGGCATACTGCACCGATGTCTTGCAGAGCCACTGAACATTACACTCCAGAAGGCTCTGAAAAGACCTACAATAAAGAAACCTGTTTCTTACACTTATTTTAACACAAAACCCATTTCTCTCTGGTTTAATCTCTCTATGTCCTAATGAACACAGCCTGAAAAATGTTGCTATAGTCTTGACACTTCAATCTTGCAGCAAATCTTGAAAGTAAAAACAAAGATGCAAAGAAGGCAGAAAGAACAGTCTCTCTCAATACCATCTAGACATATTCATTCAAATCATAGGCAAAGTGTTTCTCTGCTGCCATACTAATCTGCTATTAACATTGGTTCCATCCAGTACGGCCAGAGGCCGGGTGCCATGGCTTACTCCTATAATCCCAGCACTATGGGAGGCTCAGATGAGAGAATTGCTTGAGCTCCAGAGTTTGAGACCAGCCTGGGGAACATAGTGAGATCCTACCTCTACACAAAAGAAATTAGCTAGGCATGGTGGTGCACACCCCGTAGTCCCAGCTACTCAGGAGGCTGAGGTGAAAGGATAGTTTGAGCCCAGGAGTTATAGGCTGCAGTGACCCAAGTTCCCACCAATGCACTATAGCCTGGGCAATACAGTAAAACCATATATCAAAAAATAAAAAAGAGCACCTATAATTTTATACCTGGTCTATTTAAATAAGTCTGTCTACTGCTGGTAAGCAATGGAAACGCATTGAGACAGTCTACTAAATTAAGACAGTCTACTAAACTTAAAGGAATTCTGATATTAACTCCCTTCTCTGAAGCTATTACAAATCCTAAACATACTTCATCCTACCACAAACTTTCTTAAAACCCCCAAACTCCAGGTCTTTTCGTTTCAGTTCTAGAAAATTCTCCAAAGATACAGGCTCCTAAAGAACCTCTAGATGGATTAAGTAGGACTAGAAGAGCTACCTGTAGGACTAGAAGAGCTACCTGGTTCTCTCTCCCAAAATAAAGTTCCAAGACCATGCCTCTAGAGTTCCTTAATGGTCTCTAGTTAGATGACATGGCAATACCAAAGGGGTTTTTAAATGTATCTCATTGGATAAGACCAAACCCAGGCAAATATGCATACAGAACAACTGTAAGCAAATTCATCAAACAAAATCATGTCTACATGTCTCCTATCAGCTGTAATAATTTATTAATTGAGCTGAAATGTTTCCCATATTCCCAACATTGCTGCCAATAAGAAATGGAATATATTCAAAATTAACATTTTTATGACTCACAAATCTTACATTTCTTGCCAACTTTAGTTAATAGACATTCTATTAAGAAACACTGCCTGAAAATCAGATATTCATGAGATAGAGATTGTGCAACTTGTGCAATCTTGTGTAGAACATTATATCTCTTTTAGATTATTAAACTGAGGATTTCTTCGATTAAAAAGATGTTTCAAGTGTCCACAGAAAGTAAACAGGTCTGATTCATTTGCTAATTCCTTTTTTTTTTTTTTTTAGATGGAATCTAACTCTGGCTAATTCCTTTTTAAAATGAACTTGTATTCAAATTTGAGCCTAACACACAGGAATGTTGGGAGGATGAAACATACAAAGAACCCAGCGAAATGCTTCTTCAAATGAGTCAGTTCCTTTAATTATAAATTATTTGATTATTATGAAAAGTAGGTCTTTTTCTTTCAGAAGGCACCCTGAAATGCATTATCCTTGTGACAGGTTGTCTCTAATTGTATGGCTCTTTACCCTTAGTTTTAAAACATAAAACAGAAGTAGTTCAAGTCATGTAATTTTAAAGATACAACTAATATATTTATATAATACATATGTTTGTAAAAGTTTAAGAAAAATATGGAAAGCTACAATCCATAGCTTTCCATATTCAATGGCGGTTACCATATTCACCACTACATTCAACGGTGGTTACCTCTGGACAATGGCGTCTGGCAAAGGTTTGGAAATTAAATCTTTCACTTTCCATTTCTTTACTATTAGCATTTTTCATAACCAGTACATGTTATTTATTAATATTTTTCCTCCATTTTCTGACTATTTACTGAATACCTACTCTCTGCCAAGTTCTGAGCAGACCTAGAAAGTCCAATCTAGGTGGACATATTTCCAAACTGAAAGAAGCTTCTTATTTAAAATAATGCATGAGTGTATTCATAGTGAACGACAAAATGAAGATACATAATCTGTCTATGTTTCTGTAAGATAAATTAAAACATTACATTAGGTAAAACCCACATATCATAAAACCACTGTTCATTTTGCTTCATTCAATCCTATGTGCTGGGAATTTTCTGCATCAGAAATCATTCTGGAATCCTTTTTACCTGGCACTGACTAAAGAGATATGGGTGTTCCTTCCCAGAAGTCTGTTCAGGAGTGAGCCACTGAAGAGCAGAAGATTTTGGAGAGGTCTCAAAGGAGATTTCTATAACAATTTCTTGATTTCTATATGAAAGAAATAAATGTATTAGTAGAGTATAATTCCATCTAGTTAAAATTTAAACTCAGAATACATACACCGAATAATATAAGTCATATAGTATGCATTCTCATCACTGACTGACAGTAAGCTCCACGAATGCCGCATCCTCAGTGGGTAAGTCTCCTCTCAGTTTTCCTTCCCAAATCCCTGCCTTTGGGTCTTCTGACTTCTCCCATGCTAATTGCTAGCAAAGGCGTAACAGCAACTAACATGGGTTGAGTTCCCCATTGTGTGTCACGTAGGTTGCATCTGTGATATCATTTAATCTTTTTTTTCTCCACCTCCTGGGTTCAAGCAATTCATGTGCCTCAGCTTCCTGAGTAGCTGGGACTACACACGTGTGCCACTAAGCCTAGCTAAGTTTTGTATTTTTTTTTTTTTTAGTAGAGACAGGGTTTCACCATGTTGGCCAGGATGGTCTTGCTTTCCTGACCTTGTGATCTGCCTGCCTCAGCCTCCCGAAGTGCTGGGGTTATAGGCATGAGCCACCATACCCAGCCTCATTTAATCTTTTATTAGAGTGAAAAAGTGACAGAAATCATTTTGGAGTTTCAACTACCACAGCAGCAGGTGCCACAGCATGATAGAGAGCAGTGCTAGTCTGCAAAGTGTTATTGGCCCAGGAAAAGACAGGACCAGACTGACTCAAGTGAGAGTCAGCACTGCAAAACTTTCAGAGTCATTTTTATGTCTGTTGAATCTAATAATAAAAAAATGTGTGCTTGTATTTCATCTCTTCCTCCTATTTCATTTTTATTGCATTTTACAAAAGTATTAGTCTATGGCAGATTGAAGAGGACAAAAACTAGTCTTTTATCCCAGACAGCTTGAGAAGCATGGATAATAAGGTAACAGCAAGAGCCTTAGAGACCAGCAGCCCTGCCCATGTTCGAATCCTGACTCTACCACTTACTGGTACTATAAACTTGGGCAAATTATTTGACCTCCCTATGCCACAGTTTCCTTAAGGAATGGGGTGAATAACAGCTACCTCACAAGTTAGACTTAAGGGTTTCCCTTCTCTTAAAGGGAAAGAGAAGGCATGAAAACACTGGCCACTGAATAACTAGGGTAGCTCACCCTTGTTCTAGGCCAAAAGTTTTCACCCTTTTTCCCTTCCCCAATATATCAAGAGGTGGCATATACCCCCAACAGGACAATTCTGGTTGCCGCTTTCTTGAGTAAGTTATTTCTAAAAGGTTCCCTTTCCTCATCTTTAAGTGTAGATCATACCAGCAGGGCCACTGTAAGACTTAGATAAAAGAAAGCACTTAAAGCACTTATCCCAAGATTGCAACACCATAACAGTTCTACCTTTGGCATTATCATTGTCCCATTAATAAATGCAGCTGGCCTCTGGGGCACAGGCAAGGAGTATACAGCTTGTAAAAGCTGCCCAGGTTATCTTGAAATGCCTCCTTATGATGGCATGCCCCCACCATCACTCTAGATATTAGTGAAAGGATGAATCATTTAAAAACTACAGTTCCCAAAGTCCTTGTTGTGAGGATTATATACAAACAATGTTTTTAGTATCCTAAGTATATAAAATTATATACTGCTGTACCAACTTCAATCTGAACGGATCAGAAGTAGTATACCAATCATTACATATTTACAAACTAAATTTTAAAAAGAAAAAACATCTATATTAGTTAAAAATATTTTCCCCTACGATTTAGCTATAAAAGAGAAAGATCACGACATTCATACTTGCTCAAAGCGATAGGAAGAGAGATTTCCATTGGCGATCCCTTGTAACTTTGTCTTTCTCCAAGAGCATATTTGACTTCTTGTCCGTTGATCACTACTTTTTCTATTTTAAGGTCCTTAGTATCCAAGACCTAAAATCAGCATTTTTAAATAGTAAGAAAATTGTTTTATTTAGCAGGAAAAAAAAAAAAACTAGTATTAGATATAGATTACAACAACTAGTTGCTTGTGGAGAGTAAAATACAGAGTGAAATTACAAGAATTAAAGAAATCAAAAGTAAGTCCGGGTCTCATTTTTTCGGACTCTAAGCGTCCTGAAAATTTTGGGGTTCTAAGATTTGCATATATATTGTTAAGTAACCCTAGGACAGTCACACAAATTTGGGGCTTTAAAGTAATAGTCAAATCTAAATCAAAATATGTTTGCTTCTGTCTCCTAAAATTTTCTCTATTATGAAAAACTTTACCTATAACTTAAGTTTCTTTCACTCTGGCTCCTCAATATACTACACAATATATTTCCTCCTAGAACTCATGTAGTCCAACTCCCATGTATTTTCAACCTTTGCATTCATTAAGCAAATCAGCAGACTGCATATCACTGTTGTTGTATATCTAGAAAAAGCCCAACCTGGTATCGCAACTTGGACCAAATGCTTCTGCAGAGGGTTGGGGACCATATCTACTTGCCATGGCCAATTAAGGACAACTAACTGCTTTGGGCAGGAAGGAGAGGCAACAAGTGTTGGAGTATTTTCTATCCCCCAAATCCTGAGCCCTAGAAATCATAACCTTTAATTATTTCTCAATCAATCTCCTATCCTAGAATTTTGAACCTTCCTATGCCACAAGACTGTTTCCTAACTATAAACAAAATTCCACTTGATGGATCTACCCACTAACTACTCTAGTTTTCCTCCTTCCTTTTTGAGATGGGAGTCTCACTGTGTTGCTCAGGCTGGAGTGCAGTGGTACAATCTTGGCTCACTGCAACCTCTGTCTCCTTGAATTGGGCTCAAGCAATTCACCTGTCTCAGCCTCCCAAGTAGCTGAGATTAAAGGAAGGCACCACTATGCCCAGCTAATTTTTGTATTTTTAGTAGAGAGGGAGTTTCACCATGTTGCCCAGGCTGATCTTAAACTCCTAACCTCAGGTGATCCACCAACTTTGCCTCCCAAAGTGCTGGGATTACAGGCCTGAGCCACCACGCCCGGCCCCTCCTTCCTTTCTTAACCTCCAAGGACAATTTATGGCTGCTACTACTTCCTCATCAATTATTCTCCCTCTCACCTTCTTCAGTCTGGCTTCTAGCTCCTTTGCTATGGAAAGGGCAATCCCCACCCCAATCAACAAAGTCTTTTCTGTCCAATAACGTTGACCTCTGTCTACTCACAGCCCTTATGGACCATGTCATCTGGTTAAAACCCCTTCCTTCGCTTCTTTGCCTGTACACATAAATCACAAATGGTTTTTCGTCTAATTTTTTTTCCTTTCCCCTTATTTATTCCAACTCCCAATTATGGCTGTATTCCAATGTTCCGGGCCCGGTCCTTTGATTTTCTTGCCATATTCTTCACTCCCTAGCTCTTACTCATGCCCACATCTTCAACTAGTATCTCTATGAAGATGCCTGCCATTCTATTTCTACAGTTGTATTCCCTCCCCAGGACGTCAGTCTAATTGCCTGATCAACATTTCCATGGGACATAGCACCTCATATTGCATAGGCTCCTAAAAATTCCAAACATGACTCTTATACTCCCTAAATCAGCTTCCTCCCCAGACTTCCTGATTCTGTTAAAGGAATTCTTCCAGTCACCTAAGGTTTGATCCCAGTTCCTAATCCCACGCAGCCACTTAGAAGTTGTTCTTTCACAATGTCTTCAAAACTTTTCCTTTCCTTCCACTACTATCCCAGGTCAGGCCCTGGACTGGTAGAACTGCTTTCCATCAAATCTCCCTACCTCTGGCTTTTTTTTCCTTTTCTGAAATCTGGCCTGGCTTCAAGGCCAAGAACCCGCCATTCCCAAGCTGCCCCTCTTTTATATTAGCTAACCAGGCATAATAAGCTCAGAAATTGTCACAAGGACAATCACTAAACTTGATTCCCACCTCTCTGGAGTCAACAATTTTTGTTTGGGAAGAAATTTCCACCCTGGTTTGTTTTCCTTTTCTTATCTTTTTAAGAGAGCTGAATTTGATATGAGAATACCTTCTAATGGGCAATTATTTATTTCAGGACACTTTCTTTTGGGGTACTGCATCTGTTATACTTACTATAAATTAGTAGAGGATATGGTTTATAGCTTATTAAAAATAATAGGGTTACTCCTTCATATCCTAGTACCTCTCTAGTCTCTTCATCATACCTAGATCTGAATAGCTATTCAAAGGTAATTTGTTTTAAAAACTTGATTTGAGTATATTGTGTTTATAACAACTCATGCTTATATAGATGAATTAACTTAGTCATTTCCCAGTGGAACATATTGTGTTTTCTATATTGCCTAAACTTTCCAAATCTGTTCAGAATCAGAAGTGTCACAGTGTCACAGGGACAACTCTTTTTTTGTGAAACATTTTGATATTCCCTGTGTTTGTACTGCAGTTGGCCCTACCCTTTCCTATAAGACATTGTACTGCATTATAATGATTTCTTTTTCCATTAGACTGAGGCTTCTAAAACAGAGAATGTTACTTAGGTCTGTATTCCCAGGCTTTAGCACTGTGTCTCAAAAACACTAGGTGTCAATTAATGCCTGAAGCAGGTCCTAGACCAAGAGAAAACAAAAAATGCAATGTTTAAGCTGTTTATCTCAAGTCCTAAGCCTCAACTATCATTTGCAAATTACTTTTGAAAATTCCCCTTCAAATTTCAGTGACGTTATTTTTAAAAAATTGGTCAAAAATTATAATAAGAAAGAAAAATAAAGAAAACTAGAGAGTGGACAAGTTGGATTTGGTACTTTTAAAGAAACATTTGTTAAGGATCAACTATGTGCAAGGCCAAGATGCTGACATACAGTTAAAAGAAAAAGCTCTACTAGTGATGGGACATAATTTGCTGTATTTCACAGTATACTCTTTGAACAATGCCTCCCCCACAAACCCTCCAAAAATCAGTTGTACTTCTTGGCAGCTGATCACTTCAGATGGAATATATATCTGATTCCTTTTTTGCACAGGCCAGTAGGAAGCTCCATGTCAACCCTGTGGCCCACTTCTTTTAATGTATAGAGGGCTTTATGATGTGGATTTTGTTTCTCCTATCCTTATTCTCTCTTCCTCCAAGTCATTTCATTATTTTTTATCTTATATAATATATGTTGCTTCAAGCAGTCTCCATTCTTTCTAGAAAAAAGCAGAGTTTTTTAAAAAAAGCTTTATGCCTCATTATGATGTCTGTATTTACATTTTCTACTTTCTATCTACAGGGATATGATGGGGGGGGAAACATGGGTTTATGGATGAAACACAAAACTAAAACTAAAACTGAAAAACCACCTTGATTTGATTCCCAGTCAGCCACTTACTTAGTGAAGACAAGATGATTTGCAGTCAGAAATACCTGTTGTTCAACTGCGGGCTTCTGCCTTGCCCGTGACACTAAAACCTCTTTGAGCCGCAAACCAAAAGAACACCTATATATTTCTGAAAGTTTCAATGAAAAGAAACAAATGTTTGAAAGTCATCATCAATTTGGAGGATCAAATGTCAGTGTAAATAAACCAAAATTTGAAAAGAATTTTAGAAAGCTGAGAATTTGTCTGATTAAGCAATTCCTCAACATCACAGACTCCAAGAATGGAGAGGAAAAGAAGACATGCCGTCTCTCTCTTCACTCAGCACTGGCACTGCATGGGTCTTCCCATCTCACCTCTGAAATACAGCTTGCACTATTATCATTGTAGCCCATGTTAAGCTTAAGCACTGTTTTCTAATTGAATTCCTCCATTAATCAAACTTCTGAATGTCCTCTACATGCCAGAAATAGACTATAGTAGGAATTTGAGACACAAAGAGTTATGAAACAGTCCCTACATTCAAGAGTCCACAATTCACTGGAGGAAAGAAACAAGTTAACTTTAAATAAATATTAATTAATAAGGATAAGCTCCTGGTCTAAGATTTTTGTCATAAATAAGCAATTATAAACAGATGTCATTTTGTATTATAAACTGCCTTCCTTGTATAAAATCTAACTTATTATAATTCCAGGCTCCAGTTTGCTAAACAGACATGCCAACCAGAAATCATAATTTTAAAATACTACTTTTCTCTAGATTTGGGGAATGTTAAGACAATGAGCAGGTTTTTAGATTGGGACATTCTTTTCAAAATTTAAACATCCTGATTCTTGCTTATTTATAGAACAGAGGGAAAGATTTTATTTTACAAAAGTGATGAGAACACATGGACACACATTGGGGAACACACACTCTAGGGCCTATTGGAGGTTGGAGGGTGGGAGAAGGGAGAGGATAAGGAAAAATAACGCATGGGTACCAGGCTTAATACCTGGATGACAAAATAATATGTACAACAAACCCTCATGATACAAGTTTACCTATATAACAAACCTGTACATGTACACCTGAACTTGAAATAATAATTTTTTTAACGTTTTTATTTTACAAAACAGAGGTGAGTGTGAGGCCATATTAAGCAGCAAACAGCTATAAAAATGTTCGTTCGTTTAATGAGGAGAAACTGCACTGTAATAGGACTTCAGTCTTGTCCAAAGTTGCTACTGCAATTAAAGATAGCTGGTAGTTCAAGAAGACCAAAGTGCAATGTACAAGGAAATAGATACCTTCTTACTTATAATACCTTTATTTTCTTTTGTATAGTACTTTTGGTGATTACATATCGGTACATAGAGGAATCGACCTATTTTTCAAATCAATGAGTTTAGCAAAATGTTAAAGGACAAAGAGTAAGAAAGTTAAGTACTTATTAGTTCATATTAATGAAATCAAAATGCAGATCTATTACACAAATAGGAAAAAGAGGCCTGAAACCCACCAATTCTTATCTGCCTGATCTGATTGCTTATTGATGTGCTTTAGTACATTTCACCATGCTACACTGTGTTAAAAACACATGTAGCATCCTGCCCTGGTGAAGAAGCCGAACTTGGCTATCTTTTCATGACCCTCTTATTTCTAAAATGCTCTTCTATGAAATTCTTCAGGTGAAAGGTACAAACCAAATACAATTTGAGCAGGAACATTAAATACAGGTTAAATGATACAGGTAAAATCATTGAATAACATTCCATGAATCTACAATCTTTCTTCATTCCAATGGTTGCAGAGTTTGTAGAAAGACGTGTTTTCTAAGTGATATAATTACTTGGCTCCTTGGAACCAACTATTAATAAAGCGTATTGAATCATTCTTAGAAAACTTGAATGTCCCACCCGTCCTTAAATTATCAGAAGAAAGTTAATCAGATTCAAAGGTAGAAAGGACCCCGAAGAGAAAGAGCTGCGCCCTGAAGTTAGCAAGCAGGGACTGGAAGTTTCAAAGCTGAGCGGAGAGAAGAGGCCTGCCCGGGGCTGGGAATCCTAAGGGGCTTGAGAACGACTAGCAGGGAGATCCAGGGAACTAGGAAGGAGACGGATAGGTGGTGCTCTGTAGAACTGCGGATTGAAATCAGGGTTCCAGGGAGGGAACAGTGGGATCAGGGATCGACAGTACATGGAATCTGAGGTTTGGGTGAGACTGTTGACCGAGAAGGGTGCGCAGGGGGCTGGGTTTTCCTGGGCCTGAGAAGGGGGTTGTGGGCCGCAGGCCGAGGCAATGAGGAGGCCATGGAGTAATTAGAGCCGGGAACTAGGATTATGGGGGATATAGCAAAGATGACACCTAAGGGCTGGGTGAGTTGAGAGGAGTGGACGAGGCGCTTGGATGTGCCTAGGTACTGGAGAGAGGATCCCGGCGAGGGGCGAAAGAGACTTAAGTATAAGTGGGAGGGTGAGGGGAGGGATGCAGAGGCGTGAGCTGGGTTGAGAGGGGATTGCTGTGGGAGAGCTGAGGACTGAAGACGAAGTGCCGAACAGGAGTTGGCTGGAGGCTACAGAAGAGCAGATGGAGACGTGGGGCTGGGCAGGGGCCGCGGCGGGAGATCCAGGAGCCCGCAAGGACGAAGGGCGATGGGCGATGGGCGATGGGCGAGGGGCGAGGGGCGAGGGGCGGGGGGGCCCGGGAGAGGCGGGCACTGGGCAGGCGTCCCACCATACCAGGCTGCGCAGATTGTCCTCCTGAGACTGAACCGTGAGCTCTGCAGTCCCGGTCAGCGTCCGGCGAGTGAAGTCGACGCTGCAGCGCAGATGCAGGTGTTTGGTCCGGCAGACGGAAGCTGGAGAGGCCAACGAACAAGTATCCACTACCTCGGGCATGGCTCTGGAGGATCACGCCGCACAGCGACCCACACCTGAAGACTCGTCGATTGAGAACCTGAGGAGGGAGTGAGAGTTAAAAAAAAAAAAAAAAAAGAGGAGGGATTCGCGGTGCACGCCGGGAAAGGAAGTTTCTTAAAGACAGAGGAGCATAGGGGGGATGGCGGCGAAGGAACTACAAGTTCCATGGTGCAGCGCGGCAAGCGTGCGCTTGGCTACCTGGGAGCGTGTCTGTTAGGGGTGCTGAGAGGGACTGAGAGTGCTTCTGGAGCTGGAGAAGAGGAGGGGAGTCGGAGCTGGAGAAGAGGTGGGGAGTCAGGGCAGTTAGAAGGGTGGCCTGAGGGAAATGATGAGACATGGAGAGGGAGGTAAAACTGAACGGTACCATTTTGGCTCTGTTCAACTTCGGTGGAAGATGTAGTGGCAAACATAAGAAGATCAAATTCATTGGTCGTAGCATTTAGCGAGGGCGGGGCGGGGCGGAGCGAAAACTTAGAAACGGTCTTTCAGAAGGCTTTCTTCCGTGCAAATCCTCGTTAGTATAGTGGTGAGTATCCCCGCCTGTCACGCGGGAGACCGGGGTTCGATTCCCCGACGGGGAGACGCGAAGGTTATTTTCTTTCAGCTGTAATTCAAGATTTAAAGAGCTGCTGCTCAGTCAGTTTAAGTGTGTATTACATACATACCGAGACCCTGCAGATCTCAAACGGAGAAAGCCAACATTCCCATCTTAGAAACTAAAGATTTTCCGTAAAAGTTACGCACCGGTCGCAATGGGATTGCAGAGCCGGGATATCTATCTCAGCTCTGGGCCCCTTGTGGCAGGTGAAGGAGGGCTGAAGGATGCCTTGCCGTTTGGGTGGGGCCTCAAAATTAAAACTGGAAAAATTGGTAGAGGCTAGGTTTTGAAAAACAAACAGCTGGCCTTTTAATCCTGGGTGCATCAGTGGGGGACCCATTGAAGAGTTTTCTTCAGGGGACTGATATGCGTGGTCAGACTCATGTTATAAAATGCAGTATCAAAATCGGAAGCAGGAGATTTAGGAAACAATTAAAATGGCTCAATCAGAAAATGCTGGACCTGACATAGGTAAGTTAGGATAGAGAGGAAGGAATGAATGGAAGGAAACATAGGTAGGTGGATTCACAGATTGAGAAGAGCCTAAGGGGGCCCAGCTTCAGTGGCTAGATAGTCATTAACCAGAGATAGTAATCTGTATGAAGTGGACAGTATAGCTGTACTTGGCATTGCTATAAATACCTGAGACTGGGTAATTTATAAGAAAAGAGGCTTAATTGGCTTACAGTTATGCAGGCTGTACAAGAAGCATAGCTTGGGTATCTGCTTTTGGGTAGGCCTCAGGAAAGCTTATAATCATGGCAAAAGGTAAAGGTGGTGCAGGCCTCTACATGGCCCAAGGAGAAGCAAGAGACAGAGAGAGTGGAGGGCCAGCGCCACACACTTAAACAATCAGATCTCAAGTGGTGGCGAGGACAGCACCAGGCCACAAGGGATCTGCCTTCCATGACCCAAACACCTCCCACCAGGCTCCATCTCCAACAGTGAAGATTATAATTCAACATGAGATTTGGTAGGTACATATATACAAACTAAATCCAACAGATATAAGGGGAAGATGCTAAATTCAATTTTGGACATATGAAATTTGAGAACCTACGGGAGTCAAAGTGGAGACGTCCATGAATCATTTGGATGTCTAAGTCCATAGCCCTGGGGTGGTGTCAGGTAGACATGACAGCGTCACATAATGTGGTGGATGAAATTATGACAATGCGTAAGCTTAACCCAAGAAGAGTCTGTAAAGAGAAGGGCAAGGAAAACAGGTTGGAAGCTGAGAAAACACCAGAATTTAATTTTTTGAAAAGGGCTAGAAGAGAAACCATGAAATAAACCAGAAAGATCCAACCGACAACGCCAGATGCAGTCCAGAGGACACTGAAATAAGAAGTGAAAATCTCTAGATTTTGGCCGTGGGATGAGAGTGGGGAAGGTGGTGGTTTTGTTGACTGTTGTGATTTGGTTGAAGAAAGCCAGAGAGCAGTGGATTGAGCAATAAAGAGAAGAGGGAGGTGGAGCATAAACCACTATCAAGTTGCTTGGCCAACGTGAGATGGGAAAATTAAGGGGTAGCTAGAAAGGAATGCAGCATTGGGAAAGTGTTTTTTTAATTTTTGCTTTTTAGGGCAAGA